AGTGCACCAAGATGAAGGTTGGGTTTAGAATGAGGAGTACATTAACAGAGGGACAAGTCAGCAGTAGAGGCTGACCTTTCATCTCCTGTCTGTGGAAACCGTCCAGGGACGAGGAGGACTTGGATTTCATCCTGATCAATAAACACACAACAAGTCAGGTTATACAAGACAACACTCTGCACCACTCACTCATACAAACACAAGAGAACAAAACTGGTCATACAAGCATCAAGATGTTTGACCTACAAATATCACCACATGATTAATTATTAATTGACATAGCTTGCCATCACAAAGCCGCACTCCCAAGCTGGGTGGAACCATAGTAATCTAGTACTGACCTGTCAGCTGTAGATAGCTGGGTGAAACCATAGGTGTCCCCAGACCTGGAGGCAGAAGCAGCAGCGAAGGCAGGGAGAGGGGACAGAGGCAGGGAGAGGGGCAGGGAGAGGGGCGGGGAGAGGGGGAGAGAGGAAGGGAGACAGGCAGGGAGGAGGGGGGAAGGGAGACAGGCAGGGAGAGGGGACAGAGGCAGGGAGAGAGGCAGGGAGAGGGGACAGAGGCAGGGAGAGGGGCAGGGAGAGGGGACAGAGGCAGGGAGAGGGGCAGGAGAGAGGGACAGAGGCAGGGAGAGGGGACAGAGGCAGGGAGAGGGGACAGAGGCAGGGAGAGGGGACAGAGGCAGGGAGAGGGGCAGGGAGAGGGGACAGAGGCAGGGAGAGGGGACAGAGGCAGGGAGAGGGGCAGGGGAGGGACGAGGGGAAGGGCAGGGAGAGGGGCGAGGAGGGAGAGGGACAGAGGCAGGGAGAGGGGACAGGGGCAGGGAGAGGGGACAGAGGCAGGGAGAGGGGAAAAAAAGGACCCAAAAAGGGGAAGGGGTTTGGGGGGGGGGAAAAAAGGGGAAAAGGGGAGGGGGTCAAAAAACAGGGCAGGGCCCCAGGGGAGGGGGAAAAACCCCCAAAAAAAAAAAAAAAAAAAAAAAAAAAAAAAAAAAAAAAAAAAAAAAAAAAAAAAAAAAAAAAAAAAAAAAAAAAAAAAAAAAAAACCCCCCCCCCCCCCCCCCCCCCCCCCCCCCCCCCCCCCCGGGGGAAACCCCGGGAGAGGGGAAAAAGGGGCCAGGGAAACAACAAAGGGGGGAAACAAAAAGGGGGGACGGGGCCCAAACCAAGGGGGGACAGGGCAAAGGGGGGAAAAAAAACAAGAGGGGGACACCCAAAAAACAACAGGGAAAAAAAGGGCAAAAAAAGGGCAAAGGGGGACCGCAGAGGAGGGAGAAGGGGGAAACCAAGGGAAAGACCAAACGGGACAAAAAAGGGAAAAGAGGGGGAAGGGGCGGGAACCCCCAACCAAAACAAAAAACACCCGGGGGGGGGCCCCCCCCCCCCCCCCCGGGGAGGGGGGACAGAGGCGGGAAAAAAGGGGAAGGGGCAAGGAAGAAAAGGGGGGAGGGGGACAGGGGGGGGGAAAGGGGAGAGGGGGGGCAAAGGGGGGAAAAAGGGGTGGAACAGGGGAAAAGCAAAAAAAAAGGGGCGGGGAAAAACCAAAAGGGGGGGGGGAAAAGGGGGGGGGAAACGGGGGGGGAAACCCAAAACAGGGCAAAGGGGCAAAAACGGGGGGGGGGCCCCCCCCCCCCGGGGGGCCCCGGGGGGGGGCCCCCCCAAAAACCCCCCAAAACACCCCAAAAACCCCCCCCGGGGGGGGGGAAAAAGGGGGGGGGGACAAAAAAAGGCAGGGGAGGGGACAGGGCAGGGAAGGGGGAAAAGGGGAGGGAGAGGGGACAGGGGGGAGGGGGGAAAGGGGGGGGAGAAGGGGGGAAAAGGGGAAAGGGGGGGGGAAGGGGGAAACAGGGGGGCAGGGAGGGGAAGGGGGGGAGGGGGGGGAAAAGGGGGCAGGGAGAGGGGACAGGGGGCAGGGAAGGGGAGGGGGGAAGGGAGGAAGGGGACAGAGGGCGGGAGAGGGGACAGGGCAGGGGAAGGAGGGGCCAGGGAGAGGGGACAAGGCGGGGAGGGGACAGGGGCAGGGGGGGGAAAAGGGGCAGGGAGGGGAAAAAAGGGCAGGGAGGGGGGGGACAGGGCGGGAGGGGCAGGGGAAGGGGAAGAGGCAGGGAGAGGGGACAGGGCAGGGGAAAAGGGGCGGGAAGGGGCAGAGGCGGAAGGGGACAGGGAAAAGGGAAAGGGGGGGCAGGGGGGGGGAAAAAAGGGGGAGAGGGGACGGGGCAGGGAGAGGGGCAGGGGGGGGAAGAGGGGGAAGGGCGGGGCGGGAGGGGACGGGCAGGGAAGGGGACAGGGCAGGGAGGGGGACAAGGCAGGGGAGGCGGGAAGGGGACAGGGCGGAGAGGGACAGGGCAGGGAAGGGGAGGAGGGGGACAAGGAGGGGGGGGACAAGGCAGGGAGAGGGGACAGAGGCAGGGACAAGGAGGGGAGAAGAGGACAGAGGCCCGGGAGAGGGGACCGACAGGGAGAAACAGGGGCAAACGGGCGGGCACGGGCGACAACAAGGCAGGGCGGGGGCAGGGAGGGGGACGAGGCGGGAGAGGGGGACAGGGAGAGGGGAAAGGGGGGAAGAGGCAGGAGAGGGGACAGGGGCAGGGAGGGGGGAAAAGAGGAAGGGGAAGAGGCAGGGAGAGGGCCCCGGGGCCCGGGGAGGGGGCAGGGAGGGGGGCGGGGCGGGGAAGGGGGGGACAGGGCGGGGGAAGGGCAGGGAAGGGGACAGGGGGCGGGGAGAGGGGAAAGGCGGGGAGAGGGGACAGGGGCAGGGAGGGGGCGGGCAGGGAAGGGCCCAGGCGGGGGAAAGGGGGAAAAGGCAGGGGAGGGGACAAAAGGGGGGACAAGGCAGGGGGAGGGGGACACGAGGAAAAGGGAGGGGGGACAAAGGGGGAAAGGGAGGGGAAAAGGGGGCAGGGAAGGGGAGGGAAGGGACGAGGGGGGGGAAAAGGGGGGAAAAGAGGGGGGGGGGAGAGGGGCAGGGAGGGGGAACGACAGGGCAGACCAAGAGAACAACAACGGCAGGGGGGGGAAAGCAGGGGAAGGAGAAGGCAAGGGGAAGGGGGAAGGGGCGGGAAAGAGAAAACAAAGGGGGGAAGAGGACAGAGGAGGGAGAGGGAAGAGGCAGGGAGGGGGAAGGGGCCCCGGGGGGGGGGACAAAGGGGGGGACAGACGGGGAAGGGGAAAGGGCAAGGGGGGGGGCCCCCCCCCAAAACAAGGCAAGGGGCAGGGCAGGGGAGAGGCAGGGAAGGAGGGCAGGGAGAGAGGCAGGGAGAGGGGACAGAGGCAGGGAGAAGGAAGGGAGAGAGGACAGGTGCAATCACAGCAGAGTCAATATGCAGACATACAATTTGGGCTTGTTCGACAGCAGCCAGCGAGTCGTGACTGACTGGTCCACAAATCACTTGTCATCATAAAACTACTCATTATTTGTAGATCAGTCAGTCACAACTGACCCACAATGCATCAAGGATTTGATGCTCTTGAACAGGGCCGTAGTGTCACTGGGAAGAGGGATACCTTTAAACATCACCACTAGAACTAAATAACAAGAAAAGGTGTGGTTTCTTCCTTACCAATCATCTCCTTCTGCCAGTCCATCAGTCTCCTCTTCCTGCTCTGCCTCTTTAACATCAGGCTCCTCCCTTCCTACCCCATTAAAAACTACTTCCTTCTTTTGATTGGATGCCACATGGGCAAAAGGGGGCGTGGGCTGGCTCAGGACTGGCTGAGGACTTGCAGGGCCAGCGATCCCATTGGTCATCTCTCCTGAGCTCTCCGCGTTGGATGCGGGTGATTTGACCCGAGGGACCACATTTCCCACGACGTCTCTGGAGGGTGAAGGTTCAGGGGTCACCTCAGCCTGGCTGTATCCCGCCACCCCTGCCTCCTCCTGGGCCCGCTGCCACTCGGCATCCAGCCTCTCCTGGTCCTGACGGTACCTCTCCTGCACAACATCACACAAGACAAAACTAGTTAGAGGTAAGCTGTCCAATCAGCATCCTCTCAGAGACTGTGGGTAAGTTTAGCTAAACAGTGACCAGAAATGGCGCTTTGATCATAACAGGCATGGCCTCCAATGAAAACAGTTCCACACTGAATCACTGAAGTCAAAGAACAGTGATATTTACTCAGTGTGCGTTCCAGGTCTTCCTGACCTGTAGGGGGCGCTCCTGCCATTTCTCGTGTGTGTATGTGAGAGAGTCAGTCTTCCTGACCTGTAGGAGGCGCTCCTGCCATTTCTCGTGTGTGTATGTGAGAGAGAGTCAGTCTTCCTGACCTGTAGGAGGCGCTCCTGCCATTTCTCGTGTGTGTATGTGAGAGAGTCAGTCTTCCTGACCTGTAGGAGGCGCTCCTGCTCCTGCTGCCACTTCTCCTGCCTGCTCCTCTCCTCCTCGGGGTCCCAGGACCAACTGGAGGGGGATGTGCTGAGGGACGGCACCTGGAGCTGGAGGACAACCCAGAATATTACCATTCACACACACCGTCACAACACACACACACCGTCACAACACACACACCGTCACAACACACACACACACCGTCACAACACACACACACACACACCGTCACAACACACCACACACACACCGTCACAACACACACACACACACACCGTCACAACACACACACACACCACCGTCACAACACACACACACACACCGTCACAACACACACACCGTCACAACACACACACACACCGTCACAACACACACACACACCGTCACAACACACACCGTCACAACACACACACACACACACCGTCACAACACACACACACACACACACCGTTACAACACACACACACCGTTACAACACACACACACCGTTACAACACACACACACACACACCTCACAACACACAAACACACCATCACAACACACCACAACACCAACCACAACCCCCACAACCCCACCCCCCATCCCCCCCCAACACCACCCCCAACACCCCTTAGTGCCACTGTTCCCCCATCTTTTTCCTATGACTTACATCAGATATTGCCGAAGCCGATCCTCCTAACAGAGAGAGGGGGGAGAGAAAAGGCGAAAGGGGGAGAGGAGGGGGGGGGAGAGGACAACGGGGGGGGAGAGAAGGCCAGAGGAGGGCGAGAGGAGGGGAGGGGGGAGAGAGGCGAGAGGGCGGGGGTGAGGGCGGAGGAGAGGGCGGGGGAAGGGGTCGGAGAGGAGAGGGCTGACGAGAGACAGGGGGGGCGAGAGAGGAGCGAGGTGGAGGGCGAAGAGGAGGGGGAGCCAGAGGGGGGTGAGCGGCGAGGGACGGTGAGGGGGGGCGAGAGAGGGCGAGGGGAGGGAGCGGGGAGGGACGGGAGAGGGGAGGGGGAGAAGGCGAGGGGTGAGCGGCAGAGAGGGGAGGGGGTGACGGCGAGAAGGGAGGGGTCGGCGAAGGAGGGGGAGCGCGAGAGAGGGAGTAGCGGGGACGGCGAGGGTGACGGGAGAGGGAGGGGTGAGCGGGGGAGAGGAGGGGGAGGGCGAGAGGGTGAGCGGGAGAGGGCGGGAGGGGGGAGGGGAAGGGGGGTGAGCGGGAAGAGGGGGGGTGAGGGCGAGAGGAGGGGTGAGGGCGGGAGAGGGAGGGGGAGCGGCGAGAGAGGCGAGGGGTGAGCGGCGAGAGAGGGAGGGGGGGGGCGAGAGAGGCGGGGGGTGGCGAGAGATGCGAGGGGTGAGCGAGAGATGCGAGGGGGAGCGGGGGGAGGGGTGAGCGGAGGGAGGGGTAGCGAGGGGCGAGGGGGTGGGAGAGGAAGGGGTGAGCAGAGGGAAGGGGTGGGAGAGGCAAGGGGTAAAGGAGAGGCGAGGGGTGGCGAGAGGGAGGGGTAGCGAGAGGCGAGGGGTGAGCGAGAGGCGAGGGGTGAGCGGAGGGGGGGGTGAGGAGAGAGGCGAGGGGTGAGGAGAAAAAGGGGGGGTGAGGAGAGAGGGGGGGGGAGGAGAGAGGAGGGGTGGGGGGAGGGAGGGGAAAGGGAAGGGGGGGGGAGGAGGGGGGGGAAAAGGGGAGCGAAGGCGAGGGGGGGGGGGAGGGGAGGGAGGGGGGGAGAGGCGAGGGGGGGGGGAGGGAGAGGGAGAGGGGGGAGGGAGGCGAGAGGAGGGGGGCGAGAGGCGAGAGGAGAGAGAGGGGGGGAGAGCGGGTGCGTTAACAGTCAGCCAATGTGAGAATACATTTCTCCAGTAATTATGTCACCACATTTATTATCATTCTATTTATGAAAGAAAAAGAGCACTGCACACCAAGCACCCAACAGGGCCACCGTACGATCTAAAACCAAGCACCCAACAGGGCCACCGTACGATCTAAAACCACAGCTCCAAATCAGCTGAGATTCTCCATTCATCGTGGACTCGGATTCACACAGACTTGACTATGTAGTAATCAAAGAGTCAGAACTGCCTGGGAGAGATGGTCCAGATACTGGAGAGTGTTGTTGCCTCAACTTCAGAGCACTACACACACACCAAAAACACACCACACTTACCACATAGATAGACCATAGAGCTGACTCCTGGTGAGGCTGGGGGGAAAGAGCTGCGTTATGACACTTCACAGTAACAGAGTTGGTAACCAGGAGAGGTCACCTTCACAGCAACAGAGCTGGTAACCAGGAGAGGTCACCTTCACAGTAACAGAGCTGGTAACCAGGAGGAGGTCACCTTCACAGTAACAGAGTTGGTAACCAGGAGAGGTCCACCTTCACAGTAAACAGAGCTGGTAACCAGGAGAGGTCACCTTCACAGTAACAGAGCTGGTAACCAGGAGAGGTCACCTTCACAGTAACAGAGTTGGTAACCAGGAGAGGTCACCTTCACAGTAACAGAGTTGGTAACCAGGAGAGGTCACCTTCACAGTAATAGAGCTGGTAACCAGGAGAGGTCACCTTCACAGTAACAGAGTTGGTAACCAGGAGAGGTCACCTTCACAGTAACAGAGTTGGTAACCAGGAGAGGTCACCTTCACAGTAACAGAGCTGGTAACCAGGAGAGGTCACCTTCACAGTAACAGAGCTGGTAACCAGGAGAGGTCACCTTCACAGCAACAGAGCTGGTAACCAGGAGAGGTCCTCTTTCCATTCTATATGGACAGCAGAATATCTTTCCTTCTTAATGCGTTTGAGCCAATCAGTTGTGTTGTGACAAGGTAGGGGGGGGGGGTATACAGAAGATAGCCCTATTTGGTATAAAAGACCAAGTCCATATTATGGCAAGAACAGCTCAAATAAGCAAAGAGAAATTACAGTCCATCATTACTTTAAGACATGAAGGTCAGTCAATATGGAAAATGTCAAGAACTTTGAACGTTTCTTCAAGTGCAGTCGCAAAAACCATCAAGCGCAATGATGAAACTGGCTCTCATGAGGACCGCCACAGGAATGGAAGACCCAGAGTTACCTCTGCTGCAGAGGATAAGTTCATTAGAGTTACCAGCCTCAGAAATTGCAGCCCAAATAAATGCTTCACAGAGTTCAAGTCACAGACACATCTCAACATCAACTGTTCAGAGGGGACTGTCTGAATCAGGCCTTCATGGTCGAATTGCTGCAAAGAAACCACTACTAAAGGACACCAATAAAAATAAAAATAAATAAAAAATGACTTGCTTGGGCAAAGAAACACGAGAAATGGACATTAGACCAAATTTGAGATTTCTTTGGTTCCAACCGCCGTGTCTTTGTGAGACGCAGTGTGGGTGAACGGATGATCTCTGCATGTGTATTTCCCACCGTAAAGCATGGAGGAGGAGGTGTTATGGTGTGGGGGTGCTTTGCTGGTGACACTGTCAGTGATTTCTTTAGAATTCAAGGCACACTTAACCAGCATGGCTACCACAGCATTCTGCAGCGATACGCCATCCCATCTGGTTTGGGCTTAGTGGGACTATCATTTGTTTTTCAACAGGACAATGACCCAACACACCTCCAGGCTGTGTAAGGGCTATTTTACCAAGAATGAGAGTGATGGAGTGCTGCATCAAATGACCTGGCCTCCACAATCCCCCGACCTCAACCCAATTGAGATGGTTTGGGATGAGTTGGACCGCAGAGTGAAGGAAAAGCAGCTAACAAGTGCTCAGCATATGTGGGATTTCCTTCAAGACTGTTGGAAAAGCATTCCAGGTGAAGCTGGTTGAGAGAATGCCAAGAGTGTGCAAAGCTGTCATCAAGGCAAAGGGTGGCTATTTGAAGAATCTCAAATTTAAAATCTATTTTGATTTGTTTAGCACTTTTTTGGTTACTACATGATTCCATATGTGTTATTTCATAGTTTTGATGTCTTCACTATTATTCTACAATGTAGAAAATAGTAAAAATAAAGAAAAACCCTTGAATGAGTAGGTGTTCTAAAACTTTTGACCAGTACTGTATATGGGCAGCAGAATCTACGGCCAAACATGCGTCACCAGAGTTGAGCCATTTTCAGCTACAAAGCAAATGCAAAGACGGATTGATGACTCTTCTTTAAATATAAACCAACACAAGCCCCAGGCCACAACAACACAACTACAAAAGCCTGGCGACAAGACATTAACAACCTTGACTCTTTACCTTTCTGCTTAAAAAACTCTGCTCTCCTTTCCTGGGTTTTCAAAACAATCAGTTCATGTTCTACATGGAGGGAAACAGAGGGAGTGTGAAAGAGAAGCCGAAGTGAGAGACGGTAACAGAGATTCATCCGGGAACTACCAGGAAACTGTAAAACCTTTTCTTCATTTCAAAAAGACACAGCGCCTTCAGAAAGTATTTATACCCCTTGACTTATTCCACATTTTGTTGTGCTTAATTCAAAATGGATTAAATAGATTTCTCACACAATACCCCATAATGAGTGTTTAGAAATTTTTGCTAATTTACGTAAGTATTCACACCCCTGGGTCAATACCTATGGTCCTCTGTAGCTCAGCTGGTAGAGCACGGCGCTTGTAACGCCAAGGTAGTGGGTTCGATCCCCGGGACCACCCATACACAAAAAAAAAAAAAATGTATGCACGCATGACTGTAAGTCGCTTTGGATAAAAGCGTCTGTGAAATGGCATATTATTATTATTATATTACATGTTAGAATCACCTTTGCCAGCGATTACAGCTGTGAGTCTTTCTGGGTAAGTCTCTAAGAGCTTTGCGCACCTGGATTTTGCAACATTTGCACATTATTATTTTTAAAAATTTATTCAAGCTGTGTCAAGTTGGTTGTTGATCATTGCTAGACAGTCATTTTCAATTCATGCCATATATTTTCAAGCTGATTTAAGTCAAAACTGTAACTAAGCCACTCAGGAACATTCAACGTCGTCTTGGTAAGCAACTCCATTGTAGATTTGGCCTCGTGTTGTAGATTATTGTCCTGCTGAAAGGTGAATTAATATCCTAGTCTCTGGTGTAAAGCAGACTGAAGCAGGTTTCCCTCTAGGATTTTGCCTGTGCTTAGCTTCATTCACTTTATTGTTTTATCCTGAAAAACTCCCCAGCCCTTAACGATTACAAGCATACCCATAACATGATGCAGCCACCACTATGCTTGAAAATATGGGAGAGTGGTACTCAGTGATGTGTCGGATTTGTCCCAAACATAACACTTTGTATTCAGGACATAAAAGTTCATTATTTTGTCACGTTTTAGAATATTTTTTATCTTTACAGGCTTCCTTATTTTCACCCTGTAATTTAGGTTTAGTATTGTGGAGTAACTACAATGTTGTTGATCCATCCTCAGCTCTCTCCGATCACAGCCATTAAACTCTGTTTTAAAGTCACCATGGTGAAATCCCTGAGCAGTTTCTTTCCTCTCCGGCAACTGAATTAGGAAGGATGCCTGTATCTTTGTAGTGACTGGGTGTTTTGATACAACAGTTTAATTAATAACTTCACCATGCTCAACGGGATATTCATTGTCTGTTTTTATTTATTTTTTTACCATTCTACCAATAGGTGCCCTTCTTTGCGAGGCATTGGAAAACCTCCCTGGGCTTTGTGGTTGAATCTGTGTTTGAAATTCCCCGCTTAACTGAGGGACCTTCCAGATAATTCTATGAGTGGGGTACAAAGATGAGGTAGTCATTAAAAAAATAATGTTAAACGCTATTATTGAACACAGTGAGTCCATGCAACTTGTGACTTGTTAAGGATATTTTTTCTCCTGAACTTATTTAGGCTTGCCATAACAAAAGGGATTGAATACTTATTGACAGAAGTCATTTCAGTGTTTCATTTTTTACTAATTAAAAAAATCTAAAAACATAATTCCACTTTGACATTATGGGGTATTGTGTGTAGGCCAGTGACATATCTAAATTGTATCAATTAAAAAAATTCAGGCTGAAACAAAATGTCGAAAAAGTCAAGGGGTGTGAACACTTTCTGAAGGCACTGTAAAGACCCAGTCAGTTAATTCATTACCTTTCCTTCTGATGGTCATAGGATCGTCACGAACACCACCCTTCATGCTTTTAGATGTCACACACTAGGAGAGGGGGGAAAAAAAGATTTGAAAGATACAAAAAAAAAATAGCTTTTATTTTTAAGATATTTGTTTGAAACCCGTTTCCTTCATCACTCTATAAATACTATCTATCAATACTGATCATATGGACAAAGTGACCCACGTTGACCTCTTGTCCGTTGAGCTGGGCCGGTTTCACCCTTGTCGCTGTGGATATTACGGCGTCTCTGCTGGCATCAGGTCGACCTATAAGTGTCGGAGCTCCACTGGTCAGATCGATGATCTTATGGGAAGGAAGGCCACTGCTCCAGTCTGTCAAACCACAAAACACGGTCCAGAAAAGATTTAGAAAACATTGATTAACAAAAATCAGTAGGCTAATATTGATCCTCGATCACGATCAGTAGGCCGGGAGATCGATTAGCAATAGCTAATAGCGATTAGCAATAGCTAGATCGTGTGATCCTTGATCACGATCAGTAGCCTAATAGCCACTGTCAAAAAAAAGTCAGGATTCTCTACGGAGTCCTATGACGGACAAACAGTCTATACTTGTAAGGTTCATTAAACGTGTGTAGGACAGAGACACTCCTTTCCCAGTTATGGAGCCGTAGAACCTAACCAACATGAATTGCTTTGATAAAAGACAGTTTCCTAAACAAAATAGAGGAAAAAGAGGAACATCGAAGCACATTTAAAAACATTTAGAACAGTACTTCCTATCCCTCGCCTCAGGGACCAATAGAACAGTACTTCCTAAACCTCGCCTCAGGGACCAATAGAACAGTACTTCCTATCCCTCGCCTCAGGGACCAATAGAACAGTACTTCCTATCCCTCGCCTCAGGGCCATTACAATTTCAGAGTCCACCTTTTACACTCATACGTCATACAAAAAATCCCTCCCCTCTTTAGGCGGGCTGTAGTTTTCCACTCTAAAACTGCTCTCCTGACCATCAGTTCACACACACTTCATCATAGCCTACTACCTGCATTCCTTAGTTATCGCCGTTCTCACAATATCCTGCACCATGTTTCATACTCCTTAAAAAGCCTACCAGTCTCTCTCCTCCCTAAACTGGGAGGGGCCTCTTTATCTTGGTTTCTCAGTTGTCTGTAGCCAGCTCTCCTTGTCCTTTGTTGTCTGGCCTAACTCTTACTCACGTTGCTAAATAGTAGCTCAATGTCATAGTCTTTACTGGTCCTACACTCACACATTTCTAACACATTATACACAGTTTCAGGGTGTAATAATTAGTCATTAATAATAATAATTATATCACTTCCCACTAGCCATGATTGGCTGAGATAACGGATGGGCAGGACATTCCGAGAAAGGAGTTCAGATGTGTCTGCCATGTAGCATACTGTCTATAACATCAAGCGGCTCAGTATGTGGAGATAATCCTTGCTACCATGGCTTTTTTTTTTTTAAGAGATCATGGAGAACTGCAAAAGTGTTGCTCTGAAAATTACTGCCCTGAATTCAGCAGCCGATAACATTTACATTTTTTTTTTTTTACATTTACGTCATTTAGCAGACGCTCTTATCCAGAGCGACTTACAGTTAGTGCATACATTTTTATTTTATTTTTTTATACTGGCCCCCCGTGGGAATCGAACCCACAACGCCATGCCGGCCATTCCCTCCCCTACCCTGAGATGTTTCTACAACTGTTTTGGAGTCCACTTGTGGTGAATTCAATTGATTGGACATGATTTGGAAAGGCACACACCTGTCTATATAAAAGGTCCCACAGTTGACAGTGCATGTCAGAGCAAAAACCAAGCCATGAGGTTGAAGGAATTGTCCGTAGAGCTCCGAGACAGGATTGCGTCGAGGCACAGAGCTGGGGAAGGGTACCAAAAAATGTCTGCAGCATTGAAGGTCCCCAAGAACACAGTGGCCTCCATCATTCTTAAAATGGAAGAAAATAAGTTTGGAACCTCCAAGACTCTTCCTAGAGCTGGCCGCCCGGCCGCACTGAGCAATCGGGGGAGAAGGGCCTTGGTCAGGGAGTTGACCAAGAACCCGATGGTCACTCTGACAGACCTCCAGAGTTCCTCTGTGGAGATGGGAGAACCTTCCAGAAGGACAACCATCTCTGCAGCACTCCACCAATCAGGTCTTTATGGTGTAGTGGCCAGACGGAAGCCACTCAGTTAAAGGCACATGACAGACCGCTTGGAGTTTGCCAAAAGGCACCTAAAGGACTCTCAGACCATGAGAAACAAGATTTTCTGGTCTGATGAAACCAAGATTGAACTCTTTGGCCTTAATGCTAAGCGTCACGTCTGGAGGAAACCTGGTACCATCCCTACGGTGAAGCATAGTGGTGGCAGCATCATGCTGTGGGGATGTTTTTCAGCGGCAGGGACGGGGAGACTAGTCAGGATCGAGGCAAAGATGAACGGCGCAAAGTACAGAGAGATCCTTGATGAAAACCTGCTCCAGAGTGCTCAGGACCTCAGACTGGGGAGAAGGTTCACCTTCCAACAGGACAACGACCCTAAGCACACAGCCAAGACAAGAGTGGCTTTCGGGACAAGTCTCTGAATGTCCTTGAGTGGACCAGCCAGAGCGCGGACTTGAACCCAATCGAACATCTCTGGAGAAACCTGAAAATAGCAGTGCAGCAACGCTCTCCATTCTAACTGACAGAGCTTGAGAGGATCTGCAGAGAAGAATGGGAGAAACTCCCCAAATACAGGTGTGCCAAGCTTGTAGCGTCATACCCAAGAAGACTCGAGGCTGTAATCGCTGCCAAAGGTGCTTCAACAAAGTACTGAGTAAAGGGTCTGAATACTTATGTAAATATATTTTTAAAAACCTGTTTTTGCTTTGTCATTATGGGGTATTGTGTGTAGATTGATGACAATTTTTTTTTTTTTTTAAATCAATTTTAGAATAAGGCTGTAACGTAACAAAATGTGGAAAAAGTCAAGGGGGTCTGAATATTTTCTGAATGCACGGGGTAAGCTAGCAAAATTCAGATGACTTTTCTAATTTTGACATGAAAGTCGTTTTCATTGCAAGTCAAAGCGTACTGTTAGCTAGCTAAGCACGAGGACTTGCAGCGAGTTGTGAACTTCATCAACAACTATAGAGAGGATAATGCAATAGTATTACCAGGACGCCACCCAGGACGCCACCCAGGACGCCACCCAGGACGCCACCCAGGACGCCACCCAGGACACCAACCCTTTGGTGGAAAGCTGCTGCCATCTCATGTGACAGAAGCAGCGGAGCGGCGTCTCTACAAGGAATCGATGACAACACTTGGTATGTAAAGCATCAACACCTTTTGATTATTTTATTTCACCTCCAACATGATTGGCACTACTTTTATTGATCTCACATTATTTGTGTATTTTTCCCAGAGGTACGTGCAGTTGGGCCGTCTTCCTTCAGGAATCTGTGGAGAAAATGGCTGCCCCACATGGTTGGACTGGAGCCTGGCGTTGTCGTCGCCAAGGAGCGTTCGGACTCAGTTGGGACCAGGTTTCAGCTGCTGTGCAACGCTGACGTCCTTCCTCCCAGAGATGGTCTGCATGTACAAGCACCACCTGGACTGGACACAACTAGACCAAACTGATATTTTTGAGAAGATTAGGGAGTTTTGCGACGAAGTCAAAGGCAGGACAGAAACAGGCCCTCCGAATATAGATTCCCTTGTTCATGCGTGGAGCGGACGGACCAGTTCATCCCTGAGGGGCGAGTTCCCAGTCATCCGGACTATCTGCAGTGACTCTCTCCTAACACAGCCACACCGTTTGTATTTTTGTTCAGTATAGATTCCCTTGTTCACACGACTCCAACACCATCATTAAGTTTGCCGACGACACAACAGTGGTAGGCCTGATCACCGACAACGATGAGACAGCCTATAGGGAGGAGGTCAGAGATCTGGCCGTGTGGAGCCAGGACAACAACCTCTCCCTCAACGTGACCAAGACAAAGGAGATGATTGTGGACTACAGGGAAAAAAAAGAGGACTGAGCACGCCCCCATTCTCATCGACGGGGCTGTAGTGGAACAGGTTGAGAGCTTCAAGTTCCTTGGTGTCCACATCACCAACAAACTATCATGGTCCAAACACACCAAGACAGTCGTGAAGAGGGCACGACAAAGCCTATTCCCCCTCAGGAGACTAAAAAGATTTGGCATGGGTCCTCAGATCCTCAAAAAATTCTACAGCTGCACCATCGAGAGCATCCTGACTGGTTGCATCACCGCCTGGTATGGCAACTGCTTGGCCTCTGACCGCAAGGCACTACAGAGGGTAGTGCGTACTGCCCAGTACATCACTGGGGCAAAGCTCCCTGCCATCCAGGACCTCTATACCAGGCGGTGTCAGAGGAAGGCCCTCAAAATTGTCAAAGACTCCAGCCACCCTAGTCATAGACTGTTCTCTCTGCTACCGCACGGCAAGCGGTACCGGAGTGCCAAGTCTAGGTCCAAAAGACTTCTCAACAGCTTCTACCCCCAAGCCATAAGACTCCTGAACAGCTAATCATGGCTACCCGGACTATTTGCACTGCCCCCCCACCCCATCCTTTTTACGCTGCTGCTACTCTGTTAAGTATTTATGCATAGTCACTTTAACTCTACCCACATGTACATATTACCTCAACTACCTCAACTAGCCGGTGCCCCCGCACATTGACTCTGCAACGGTACCCCCCTGTATATATAGCCTCCCTACTGTCACTTTATTTTACTGTATATATAGCCTCCCTACTGTCACTTTATTTTACTTCTGCTCTTTTTTTCTCAACACTTTTTTTGTTGTTGTTTTATTCTTACTTTTTTTGTTTAAAATAAATGCACTGTTGGTTAAGGGCTGTAAGTAAACATTTCACTGCAATGTCTGCACCTGTTGTATTCGGCGCATGTGACCAATAAAATTTGATTTGATTTGATTTGAGCGGACGGACCAGTTCATCACTGGGGGGCGAGTTCCCAGTCATCCGGACTATCTGCAGCGACTCTCTCCTAACACAGCCACACGTTGCTGCTACTATTTATTTTTGTGTCCTGCTGCTCAGCCACTTTACCCCTGATTGTAGACTATATAACTACCTGATCTATCACCAGTATCAACGCTATGGTTATTGATATTGTTCTTGTACATACTGTATTTGTTCTCTCTACTGGCATTGACACTTATTGACACTTTCTATTTGTAATATTGCTACTAATGAAAATATGCAATTCATCATTCCACTGTACTGTTTACACCTTCTGCAGCGACCCCATCCATTTCACTAGATGTTGCTGGAGGTGGTTACAGTATTTATTTCACATGACCCATCAATTTAGACAAGTGTGTCATGATCATCTAATCATTAATTAAATATTAATCCAACATTTATCTGGACACTGTCTATCTCTATGTAAATAGTAACCATTTCACTGGTTTCCACCTTCTGTATGCTGTGCATGTGACAAATACACACTATATGAAATACAGAATCAGTATCCGGGACGGTAATGTGAAGAACAACACCAAAGTCAGATTAGGATGGAGGCCAAGGACTAGATTATTATTGGCTACTACTTTTAGTCATGAACTCTTTGGTTGTTTACTACACTACCGTACTCACTCTATTTAGCACATGGCCTCACATGGTCTACCCTGCTAGCCTACCCTGCCACTACCTTACTCACTCTGTTTAGCACATGGCCTCGCATGTGACTCCTTAAAGAGATGGGAGGGGCTAAGGCTTAAGAGGGTGTGAACGATGCTGAATGGGTGTAGACAAAGAACAGCTCTCCAGTAGGTGTACCAAAATATTCAAGGACCATTTTCTCAAAAGTGGGGTTACAAGTTTATCATCTTTCAAAGCAGAATTACTTTCCCATTGTTCCTCAACTGTAGTGTATGATATACCATTTTCTAGCTCTGAGTCTATACTTTTATCCAATGTAAAAACAACTAATTTAAAATTTTGCTACATAAAACGTAATAGAGGCGGTCAGTCACATTTGTTTTAACCCTGAATTGGCACACCTGATCCAATTAGTCAAGGGCTTGGTGACAGCTGACTAAATCAAATCAGGTGTGTCAGATTAGGGCTACAACAGCTGGTCCCTGAGGAAAGGGATGGGAAACCCTGCTATAGTGGTAGATGAGGGACACAGAGACAACACGCTACCACGTCCTCTGAGGGACAGACAAGACCGGGACACTACAGGGAGAGTTGAGGGACAAACAGAACAGACAGGGACACTACAGGAAGGCAAGCAGGTGAGGGACAAACCGAGCTCCCAGCAGGTCAGGCGGAAGGGGGCGGAGTCTCTTTCGCTCACCGTTGTTACCATAGCGCTGTACGTCCATGGTGAGACTGCCCTTCTGCAGGGCAGAGGTCATGGTGCCCTTCCACTGGTCGTGGCTCATCTCTGCCACCCTGTGCCCGCCAACAGACACTATCTCATCACCCGCACGCAGCTGGCCCAACTCTGCAGGACTGCCTGCAGGGGGGAGGAGAGAGGGGAGGCTTTCACCTTGTTGAGACCTTTGTACAGTTGGTTGCCAAAAACACAAGGCTGATTAGATTGGAATGTAAACCATCCTAACCGCAGCATTAACATACTGTACAGGTCATAGGCTGTTCGAGAGATAAGAGGAAAGAGATGTGTTACAGGACAGTAGTAGAGAGCAGAGAGAGAGAGATGAGTTACAGGCCAGTAGAAGAGAGCAGAGAGAGAGATGAGTTACAGGCCAGTAGAAGAGAGCAGAGAGAGAGAGAGAGAGATGAGTTACAGGCCAGTAGTAGAGAGCAGAGAGAGAGAGAGATGAGTTACAGGCCAGTAGAAGAGAGCAGAGAAAGAGAGAGATGAGTTACAGGCCAGTAGAAGAGAGCAGAGAGAGAGAGATGAGTTACAGGCCAGTAGAAGAGAGCAGAGAGAGAGGAGAGATGAGTTACAGGCCAGTGAACGAGAGCAGAGAGAGAGATGAGTTACAGGCCAGTAGTAGAGAGCAGCAGAGAGAGAGAGAGAGATGAGTTTACAGGCAGTAGTAGAGAGCAGAGAGAGAGAGAGAGATGAGTTACAGGCCAGTAGAAGAGAGCAGGGAGGAGAGGATGATTACAGGCCAGTAGAAGGGGGGATGGGTACAGGCCAGTAAGAGAAGAGAGCAGAGAGAGAGATGAGTTACAGGCCAGTAGAAGAGAGCAGAGAGAGAGATGAGTTACAGGCCAGTAGAAGAGAGCAGAGAGAGAGAGATGAGTTACAGGCCAGTAGAAGAGAGCAGAGAGAGAGATGAGTTACAGGACAGTAGAAGAGAGCAGAGAGAGAGATGAGTTACAGGCCAGTAGAAGAGAGCAGAGAGAGAGATGAGTTACAGGCCAGTAGAAGAGAGCAGAGAGAGAGAGAGAGATGAGTTACAGGCCAGTAGAAGAGAGCAGAGAGAGAGATGAGTTACAGGCCAGTAGAAGAGAGCAGAGAGAGAGAGAGATGAGTTACAGGCCAGTAGAAGAGAGCAGAGAGAGAAGAGAGAGATGAGTTACAGGCCAGTAGAAGAGAGCAGAGAGAGAGATGAGTTACAGGTCAGTAGAAGAGAGCAGAGAGAGAGATGAGTTACAGGCCAGTAGAAGAGAGCAGAGAGAGAGATGAGTTACAGGCCAGTAGTAGAGAGCAGAGGAGAGGAGAGATGATTAAAGGCCAGTAGAAGAGAGCAGAGAGAGAGATGAGTTTCAGGCCAGTAGAAGAGAGCAGAGAGAGAGATGAGTTACAGGCCAGTAGAAGACAGCATAGAGCAGAGATGAGTTACAGGACAGTAGTAGAGAGCAGAGAGAGAGAGATGGAGTTACAGGCCAGTAGAAGAGAGCAGAGAGGAGAGATGAGTTACAGGGACAGTAGAGAGAGCAGAGAGAGAGGAGAGAGGGATGAGTTACAGGCCAGTAGTAGTAGAGAGCAGAGAGAGAGAGAGAGATGAGTTACAGGCCAGTAGAAGAGAGCAGAGAGGAGAGAGTGAGTTGAGTTACAGGCCAGTAGAAGAGAGCAGAGAGAGAGATGAGTTACAGGCCAGTAGAAGAGAGCAGAGAGAGAGATGAGTTACAGGCCAGTAGAAGAGAGCAGAGAGAGAGAGAGATGAGTTACAGGCCAGTAGAAGAGAGCAGAGAGAGGAGATGAGTTACAGGCCAGTAGCAGAGAGCAGAGAGAGAGAGAGATGAGTTACAGGCCAGTAGGATAGAGCAGAGAGCAGAGAGAGAGATGAGTTACAGGCCAGTAGAAGAGAGCAGAGAGAGAGAGAGATGAGTTACAGGCCAGTAGAAGAGAGCAGAGAGAGAGATGAGTTACAGGCCAGTAGCAGAGAGCAGAGAGAGAGAGATGAGTTACAGGCCAGTAGAAGATAGTATTTCCAGTCACACCTGACTAACCCAGAGGAACAGTATAAGGTTGTAGTTCTCCTGACCATAGATATCCACTCTGGTTCTGACTAGGTCTCTGTTGCAGGGTAAGGCACAGCTCTGTTTAAACATTGATGAATATCTCCCTATACTGTAGGCAACGGACATTGGTGGAACAACCAGTATGGACATTACTAATGACCCAGCCAGGTCAATTCAAAGACTCTAGTACCAAGACACCTTCACAGACTAAAACGTATAATAATATAATAATAATAATAATAATAATAATAATAATAATATGCCATTTAGCAGACGCTTTTATCCAAAGCGATTTACAGTCATGCGTGCATACATTTTTAACGTATGGGTGGTCCCGGGGATCGAACCCACTACCCTGGCGTTACAAGCGCCGTGCTCTACCAGCTGAGCTACAGAGGACCACTTATCCCAAACGATAAATATTCAGCTGTTTGGTCAAACTTCATCCATTACTTAGTTGCTACATTTATTTTGGAATCTTACCTACTTTGGTTAAAGTTCTTACTTGATTACATCCAAAAGGACCAAGGTGGTGAAACACAGAACACATGACATACGGTCCCCGTCCATCCCTGAAGGAGCGGTGTTCTTACCTGGTCGGATGCCTCCGACTCGCACTCCTGCTGAGTCCCAGTGAGTGTTGAAACCAAAGTCTGGTCGACCGTTCAGCTTCAAGGTAAGACTCACTCTGTCACTGTGACGTACCTGAGAGCGAGACAGCGAGACACAAGGTGAAGGTGACACCTGGTGAAGGTGACACCGATTCGATGTCCCACGTTTCCTGACAGAAACCAGAGACCCCCCCCCCCCCCCCCCACCCTCTGACACGCAGCAGCACACAGGGTTGTTTACTGAACCCCTTATTTTACCAGGTTAGTTGACTGAGAACACGTTCTCATTTATAGCAACGACCTGGGGAATAGTTACAGGGGAGAGGAAGGGGGGGGGGGGATGAATGAGCCAATTGGAAGCTGGGGATGATTAGGTGGCCATGAGGTTCTGATTGGACGTTTAGTCAGGACACCGGGGTTAACACCCCTACTCTTACGATAAGCGCCATGGGATCTTTAGTGACGACAGAGAGTCAGGTCACCCGTTTAACGTCCCATCCTAACACTGCCCTGGGCATTGGGATACATATATATTTTAGACCAGAAGAAAGGATGCAGCAGCGGTATGCAGTGGTATGCAGGGGGTGGTATGCAGGGTGGTATGCAGGGTGGTATGCAGCAGTGGGATGCAGCAGCAGTGGGATGCAGCAGCGGTATGCAGTGGGATGCAGCAGCAGTGGGATGCAGTAGTGGTATGCAGGGTGGTATGCAGTGGGATGCAGCAGTTAGGGAGCGGGTGGGATGCGGGGGGTGCAGGGGGGGGTTGCAGGGGGGACAGCTTAAATCCACAGCATCACAAGGGGAAAAAAAAAGGCCGACACACACACAGGGCCTCACAGGACAGGTTTTAAAATCCAATATGGGGGGAGGAGTGCCAAGATGCGCGCGGCTTTAATCGCACCAAAAAAGGGTTCAAAAGCACCTAAAAAAGGCTTCAACGCACCTAAAATTTTGGGTCAAAACAGCACCTAAAATGGCTTCAATACAGCACCTAAATCAGTCAACCAGGGTTTGTACACATGGGGTAAACCTCCGGGCCCGACAGGTTAAACTCCGGGGCCCCTAACTATGACAGCCCAGTTATGGCTGATGGGTCTCTCAAGGTAAAGACCGTTGCGCTCACCTGCGCAGAGCCATTCTGTGTGACTGAGACAGCGAGGCTGGGCAGGAGAGGAGGGGGTAAGGGTCTCTCCGGCTGGGTTTGGGGCGGGTGGCGGGTAAGGGTCCCCCGGCTGGGTTTGGGGCGGGTGGCGGGTCCAGGCCCCACTCTGGCGTTCAGGATGGAGGGCTGGGTCTGACTCGCACCCTCCTCCTTTACTTCCTGGTTCACACCGCTCCGATTGGCTGGGGCCCGGGGCTGCGCCCCGACAGCGACCTCCGAGATGGTGACCATTTTCTGCGGGCGTGAGGGAGCCGTCTTGGTGGGGAGCAGGGAAGCGTTTCTGTCTCCGTTCAGCGTAGAGTTCTCCAACTGTAGATACTAGAAGACAGAGTCAAAGGTCATCAGAGCGGAGAGGCAGAAGTCTCTACTGTGTGTTACATTGACGTCAACAGGTGAAATATCATTCCTTTAAAAAAAAAACTAGCAATTCAGATTGTCAACCACCGTTTGACAGGGTGGGAGGGAGTGAAGGAGGGCAGTGACATGGAGTCTGTTGTCAGTGTGAAGGCTGAAGCTGCATCCCAAACAGCACCCTCCATGAATTCCCTACAAAGTGCACTACTTTGGACCAGAACAATATGGAACCTGATAAAAAAGTAGTGCACTAAGAATTAAATATGTTTTATTGTCTCAAACACCTGATTAGGTGCAGTGTAATGTGTTGTTTTTACAGGGTCAGCCATAGTAGTATGATAGGTCCAGTATAATGTGTTGTTCTACAGGGTCAGCCATAGTAGTATGATAGGTCCAGTGTAATGTTGTTTACAGGGTAGCCAAGTGTATGTAGGTCCAGTTTGTAATGTTGTTACAGGGTCAGCCTAGTATATGATAGGTGCAGTGTAATGTGTTGTTTACAGGGTCACCATAGTAGTATGATAGGTCCAGTGTAATGTGGTTCAGGGTTCGGCCTGAGGCTGAGGGTCCTGTGAATTGTTTTACGGTACCTGTGTAATAGGTCCGTAATTTGTGAGTTTCCAGGGGTCAGCCAAGAGTAGAGGTCCAGATGTAAATGTTTGTTTACGGGGTCAGCCATGTTAGTGAGAGGCCCAGTGAATGTGTTGTTTTACAGGTGGTCAGCATAAGTATGATAGGTCCGGGTAAGTGTTTTTCACAAGGGCAGCCTAGAGTATGAAGTCCATAATGTGTGTTTTACAGGGTCACCATAGTAGTATGATAGGTCCATTGTAATGTGTTGTTTTACAGGGTCGCATAGTAATGATAGGCCAGTGTAATGGTTGTTGTTTAAGGGGGTCGCAACGCTAGAATGATAGGTCCAGTAATGTGTGTTTTACAGGGTCAGCCATAGTAGTATGATAGGTCCAGTTAATGGTGTTTTTTAAGGGTCAACCATAGTAGTATGATGGTCCAGTGTAATGTGTTGTTTTACAGGGTCAGCCATAGTAGTATGATAGGTCCAGTGTAATGTGTTGTTTTACAGGGTCAGCCATAGTAGTATGATAGGTCCAGGTATAAGTGTTGTTTTACAGGGTCAGCCATAGTAGTATGATAGGTCCAGTTTTAATTTTTGGGTTTTTACAGGGTCAGCCATAGTAGTATGATAGGTGCAGTGTAATGTGTTGTTTTACAGGGTCAGCCATAGTAGTATGATAGGTCCAGTGTATGTGTTGTTTTACAGGGTCAGCCATAGTAGTATGATAGGTCAGTGTATGTGTTGTTTTACAGGGTCGTCCATAGTAGTATGATAGGTGCAGTGTAATGTGTTGTTTACAGGGTCAGCCATAGTAGTATGATAGGTCCAGTGTAATGTGTTGTTTTACAGGGTCAGCCATAGTAGTATGATAGGTGCAGTGTAATGTGTTGTTTACAGGGGTCAGCCATAGTAGTATGATAGGTCCAGTGTAATGTGTTGTTTTTTAACAGGGTCAGCCATAGTAGTATGATAGGTCAGTTACTGTGTTGTTTTTTAGGCAGTGGTAGGGTCAGCATATATCGGTAGATAAGGTCCAGGTTTAAGTGTTGCTTTAAGGGCAGACCAGTTTTCACCTTGTCATGCTCGGCTTTTGGGTCACCAAAGAATGAACCATTTTGGGTTTTACTGGGTCCCAACGTATATGATACGCTCCAGTGTACTGGTGTACGGCCCAAAGTATATGAAGGTTCCAGTTAAGTTTTTGTACAGGGCCCAAGAGTATTAAGCTCCAGGTGCATGTGCTACTCACCGCTAGTAGCTGCCCCTGGGCAACAGGTTAAGTGCCTTGCTCAAGGCCAACGATCTTACCTACCCCTGTCTGCGGGCCCAAGTATAACCGCTACCTGCTGCACTGGCCCAACGATCTAACCGCTACGCTAGCTGCCACTGGCCCAACGATCTAACCGCTACGCTAGCTGCTGGCCCAACGATCTAACCGCTACGCTAGCTGCGCCATGTATAGGGAACGGCTGGCATTTGGGCCTCAGGCTGGGCGGTGAAGGCAGCCAGCAGTATCCTGTTATAATACTGCATTATTCATAGCAGATGGAAGAGGATCAGGGAGCACATGGTGACACTTCTCCCCTCTGCCCTCCACATACTACCATGGAGAACTACAAGTACCAACCACACACTTCTCCCCTCCCACATACTACCATGGAGAACTACAAGTACCAACCACACACTTCTCCCCTCCACATACTACCATGGAGAACTACAAGTACCAACCACAACTTCACCCCCAACATACTACCCATCGGACTACAATACCAACAGACACTACCCCACATACTACCAACCATGGAACTCAAGCCCCCCACCTAGGAGCCAGGAGTGTTAGTAAAAACAAACACTTGACCTCCATCACCAGAACACAAGAAACTTACAACTGTCCCAATACTGACCAGATACTAAATGAAGGGCAAAAAATTCCCAGTCGACGACAGTAGAATGTGATGAGGCCTAGAACCAGAACCCAGGCCCAAGGGTGACCATGGAGACGGAGAGTCAACGAAAGGCTTGACGGGCCGGACCCTATAACCCGGAGAATTATGGAGGCTAGCAGGGAAAAGCGTGGACATACAGACTAAAGAGAACCAACTTAGGGAGGCATTAGTAGGGAGTAGGTAAATGGACAGGAAGTGAGCAAACAAAGAAGAGTGTGATGGAAATGTTGCTAAAGGGACATGAAAGAAGGGGAAGGGGTGGACATAGGAGGACAGAGAATGTGATGGAGGGCTAGAGAGAGAGAGAGAGGGGTGGGACAGTGAAGAGGAGAGTGGATGGAGGGCTAGAGGGGAGAGGGGGTGGACAGGGTGGACAGGAAGCAGGAAAGGAGAGTAGAGAGAGGAGGGAGAGTAAGACAGGAGAGATGATGGAGGGTGGACGAGAGAGGGGACAGTAGAAGGAGAGATGTGATGGAGGGCTAGAGAGAGAGAGAGGGGTTGGACACAGTACAGACAGGAGAGATGTGATGGAGGGCTAGAGAGAGAGAGAGGGGTGGACACAGTACAGACAGGAGAGATGTGATGGAGGGCTAGAGAGAGAGAGGGGTGGGGACAGTACAGACAGGAGAGATGTGATGGAGGGCTAGAGAGAGAGAAGAAGAGGGGGAATGATAGGGCAGGAGAGAGATGGAGGGGGCACAGTAGAGAGACAGGAGAGAGGGTGGGAAGAGTAGACAGAGAGGAGTGGAGTAGAGGATGAGGGAGTAGGAGAGAGAGAGAGAGAGAGGGGTTGATGGACAGTACAGAGGAGAGAGGAGGGTGAGTAGAGAGGGGTTGGACATAGAGAGAGGAGTGGTAGTAGAGAAGAGAGAGAGGGGTTGGACAGTACAGACAGGGATGTGATGGAGGGCTAGAGAAAAGAGAGAGGGGTGGAAAGTACAGACAGGAGATGTTGATGGAGGCAGAGAGAGAGAGAGGGGGGACTTGGAAAAGCATGGAGAGGAGAAGTGGAGGATGGGCTAGAGGAGAGAGGAGAGGGGGTGGAAGTTGAGACGAGAGAAGGATGAGGTAGTAAGAAGAGAGGGTAACAGTAGAGAAGGAGATGTGATGGAGGTAGAGAGAGAGAGGGAAAGAGAGAGGGATGTGATGGAGGCTAGAGAGAGGAGAGGGGTGGAACAGAGACAGGAAGAGAGGGAGGGGGATAGAGAGAGGGTGGACACAGTACAGGGGAGATGGGATGAGAGGAGGAGAGGGAGGGGGGGACGTAGACAGAAGAGAGTGGGGGTGGAAGAGAGAGAGAGATGTGTGGAGGGCAGAGAGACAGGGGTGGACTGGAGGCAGAAAGGGGAGATGGGGGAGGGGTGGAAGAAGAGGGACAGAAGAGGGATGTGATGAGGGCTAGAGAGAGAGAGAGGGGGTGGACACAGTACAGACAGGAGAGATGTGATGGAGGGCTAGAGAGAGAGAGAGGGGTGGACACAGTACAGACAGGAGAGATGTGATGGAGGGCTAGAGAGAGAGAGGGAGCAGGAGGGACAAGTAAGGAAGGGTAGAGGGGGAGGGAGGGATGTAGGAAGAGAGAGGTGGACAGTACAGGGCAGAGAGAGGAGGGGGTAGGAAGAGACAGGGGGGACAGTGATGGAGGTCTGGAGGAAGGGTGGGCACGAGAGGAGAAAATGTTGGAGTAAGAAGAGAGAGGAGGGGTGGACAGAAGAAGGGGGAAGTAGAGGGAGAGAATGAGGAGGGCTGGACAGAGAGAGGGGGACAGTAATGACAGGGGAGAGATGTGAGAGGGGGTGGGGAGAGACAGAGGGGGGACAAGTGAAGAAGGGAAGAGAGAGGGAGGGGGGACTAAGGAGAAGGAGAGAGTGGGTGGACACAGACAGACAGGAGAGAGTGTGGAAGGGCTAGGAGAGAGAGAGAGGGGTGGGACACAGTAAGGGAGAGGAGGAGGAGTGACAGGAGGGCTATGAGAGGGGCTGGAAGAGAGAGGAGACAGGAAGAGGTGATGGAGGGCTAGAGAGAGAGAGGGGGAGACAGTTGGACCAGGAAGACAGGAGGAGGGTAGATGGAGGGCTGAAGAGAAGATGAGGGAGGAAGGAAAGAGGAAGTGTTATGTGTAGAGCCGGGATGGGGGAGGGAACCTGGAGGGCTGGATCAAACGGTGGGGGTGAAGGAGAGCAGAGAGGGAGGGAAATACAGACAGGGGATTCCCTGGGGGAGGGGAGGCAGAGACAGTCCCGGACCCGGAGCTGTATGGAGGGGAGGTCTGCTGCTGGGGAGGCCCAGAGACACGGCCGAGTCTGGGTTTACACGGGCGTGGGTCCCACAGAAGGAGGGGGATTTGTCTGGGATCTATGGAGGAGAGCGTGATGGAGCTGGTGCCGTCGGTACAGGGACGGGTGAGTTAAAGGGCAGAGAGAGAGAGGAGTGGAGAGACGTACGGGAGATTTGAGAGGCAAGTAGGAGGGTGTGGGCCAGTTACAGACAGGAGGATGTGTGGAGGGTAAAGGAGGAGAGAGGGGAGGGGGGAGAGAGAGGTGGACCAGTACGACAGGGAGAGAGGATTGGGGGGGCTAGAGAGGAAGAGAGGGGGGGGGGGACATACGACGGAGAGATGTATGGAGGGCTAGGAGAGAGAGGGGGTTGGACAGACAAGACAGGGGGGATGTGATGGAGGGCTTAAAAAATTATTTGGGCAATGTTTGGGAAACGTTGGGAAGAGGGGGCCCCGGGAAAAGGGGGGGATGGAGGGTAAGAGAGGGAAAAGAGGGGGGGACACAGGGGGACAGGGAAGGGTGTATGGAGGGCTAGAGAGAGAGAAGGTGGTGGAAACAGTACAGACAGGAGAGATGTGATGGAGGGCTAGAAGAGAGAGAGGGGTGGACACAGTAGAGACAGGAGAGATGTGATGGAGGGCTAGAGAGAGAGAGGGGTGGACAGTACAGAACAGGGAGAGGATGTGATTGGAGGGGCTTAGAGAGAAGAGAGGGGGTGGACACATGTACAGGACATGGAGAGATGTGATGGGTGGCTAGCCTAGAGAGCGGAGAGGGGTGGACACAGTACCAGACAGGAGAGATTGGGATGGAGGGCTAGAGAGAGGGGGAAGGGGAAAGGGAGGGGTGGACACAGTAGAGACAGGTATGAGATGTGATGGAGGGCTAGAGAGAGAGGGGTGGACACAGTAGAGACAGGAGAGATGTGATGGAGGGCTAGAGAGAGAGAGGGGTGGACACAGTACAGACAGGAGAGATGTGATGGAGGGCTAGAGAGAGAGAGGGGTGGACACAGTACAGATGTGATGGAGGGAAGGAAAGAGGAAGTCGTTACTCACGTTGTAGAGCCTGGGGATGGAGGACACTCTGGAGGGCTTGGATCCAAACGGCCTGGGGGTGAAGCCGGCAGAGAGGGAGGAAGAGCCCTCAGACCGGCGGTATCCCCTGGGGAGAGAGGCGGACACCCCAGTCCCTCCCGGAACCCTGGAGCTGTACCTGTAGAGGGGGAGGTCCTGCTGCTGGGGAGCCCAGACACGGCCCGAGTCTGGTTCTACCACCGACGTCTGGGTCTCTAGAGCAGAGAGGAGGGCTTTGTCTGGGATCTCCATGGAGGCAGAGCGTCTGTTGGAGCTGGTGCCGTCGGTTAGGTTTGACCCGGTACCGTTCACCAGGCCAGAGGCAGTTGGAGAAGAACTGGTACCAGTGGTAAAGCATGAGCCAATTCCATTGGTGAGGGTCGTGGGGGTCCCGTTTGAGAGCATGGAGGTGTTCTGGTCTAGTCCAGTGGAGATCATGAGAGCTGGGCTAGAGATGGCCCGGCCACGGGTCTGGGAGGACAAAGGAGAGGTAGAGGAGAGGGTGGGGGCTAAACCACCAGCTGTGTCTGGATCCACCGGTGTGCCTGTGTGACGCCTCTCCCCCAGGACAGGGGCTCTGATCGGGGCGCGGCTCTGGCTGATGGTCCCCGGGCCTGGAGGGTCACGCTGGGGGTGGTGGAGGGTTCCGAGGCTCCGGGGCTGTAGGGAGACTCCGCGGAGGAGCTGAGGGCCGGCGGGGCTCTGGTGTGGGGTCGGAGATCCAGGGAACCCTCCTTGGCCGAGGTGGAGGGAGAGACAGTGGCGTGGCTACTGCTGTATAGGGCCTCCTCATCCTCCTCCCTGTATTACCATATGACAGGAGAGAGGAGAGGAGTGGTACCATATGACAGGAGAGAGGAGGAGGAGTGGTACCATATGACAGGAGAGGAGGAGTGGTACAAAGAGGAGGAGGGAGGAGTGGTACCATATGACAGGAGAGAGGAGGAGGAGTGGTACCATATGACAGGAGAGAGGAGGAGGAGTGGTACCATATGACAGGAGAGAGGAGGAGGAGTGGTACCATATGACAGGAGAGAGGAGGAGGAGTGGTACCATATGACAGGAGATGAGAGAGGAGTGGTACCATATGACAGGAGAGGAGGATGATGTGGTACCATATGACAGGAGAGAGGAGGAGGAGTGGTACCATATGACAGGGAGAGTGATTGGAGAGAGTGGTACCATATGACAGGAGAGAGGAGGAGAGTGGTACCATTGAACAGGAGAGAGAGGAGGTGGTACCATATGACAGGAGAGAGGAGGAGTGGTACCATATGACAGGAGAGAGGAGGAGGAGTGGTACCATATGACAGGAGAGAGGAGGAGGAGTGGTACCATATGACAGGAGAGAGGGAGGAGTGGGTACCATATGACAGGATGAGAGGAGGAGGAGTGGTACCATATGACAGGAAGAGGAGAGGAGTGGTACCATATGACAGGAGAGAGGAGGAGGAGTGGTACCATATGACAGGAGAGAGGAGGAGGAGTGGTACCATATGACAGGAGAGAGGAGGAGGAGTGGTACCATATGACAGGAGAGAGGAGGAGGAGTGGTACCATATGACAGGAAGAGAGAGATGTACCATTACAGGAGAGAGGAGAGGTGTACCATATGACAGAGAGAGGAGAGTGGACCAATAAGGAGAGGAGAGAGTGTACCATATGACAGGAAGAGAGGAGAGGAGTGGTACCATATGACAGGAGAGAGAGGAGGAGTGGTACCATATGACAGGAGAGAGGAGGAGGAGTGGTACCATATGACAGGAGAGAGGAGGAGGAGTGGTACCATATGACAGGAGAGAGGAGGAGAGGTACCATATGACAGGAGAGAGGAGAGGAGTGGTACCATATGACAGGAGAGAGGGGGAGGAGTGGTACCATATGACAGGAGAGAGGAGGAGGAGTGGTACCATATGACAGGAGAGAGGAGGAGGAGTGGTACCATATGACAGGAGAGAGGAGGAGTTGTACCATATGACAGGAGAGGAGGAGGAGTGGTACCATATGACAGGAGAGAGGAGGAGGATGGTACCATATGACAGGAGAGAGGAGGAGGAGTGGTACCATATGACAGGAGAGAGAGGAGGAGTGGTACCATATGACAGGAGAGGAGGAGGAGTGGTACCATATGACAGGAGAGAGGAGGAGGGGGTACCATATGACAGGAAGAGAGGAGGAGTGGTACCATATGACAGAGAGAGGAGGAGGAGTGGTACCATATGACAGAGAGAGGAGGAGTTAGTGGGTACCATATGACAGGAGAGAGGAGGAGGAGTGGTACCATATGACAGGAGAGAGGAGGAGTGGGCCATATGACAGGAGAGAGGAGGAGTGGTACATATGACAGGAGGAGGAGGAGGAGTGGGTACCATATGACAGGAGAGAGGAGGAGTGGTACCATATGACAGGAGAGAGGAGGAGGAGTGGGTACCATATGACAGGAGAGAGGAGGAGGAGTGGTACCATATGACAGGAGAGGGAGGAGGAGTGGTACCATATGACAGGAGAGGGGTAGGAGGGTGGTACCATATGACAGGAGAGAGGCGGAGGAGTGGTACCATAGACAGGAGAGAGGAGGAGGGTGGTACCATATGACAGGAGGAGGAGGAGGAGTGGTACCATATGACAGGGAGAGAGGAGGAGGAGTGGTACCATATGACAGGAGGAGAGGAGGAGGGGTGGTACCATCTTTAGACAGGGAGAGGGAGTCGGTACCATATGACAGGAGAGAGGAGGAGGAGTGGTACCATATTGACAGGAGAGAGGAGAGGAGTGGTACCATATGGACAGGAAGGAGGAGGTAGTGGTGTACCATATGACAGGAGCGAGGATTGGTACCATATGCCAGGAGAGAGGAGGAGGGTGGTACCATATGACAGGAGAGAGGAGGGGAGTGTACCATATGACAGGAGAGAGGAGGAGTGGTACCATGACGGAGAGAGGAGGGGAGTGGTACCATATGACAGGGAGAGAGGAGGAGGGAGTGGTACCATATGGACAGGAGAGAGGAGGAGTGGTACCAATGACAGGAGGAGAGGAGGAGAGTGGTACCATATGACAGAGAGAGGGAGGAGTGGTACCATATGACAGGAGAGAGGAGGAGGGGTGGTACCATATGACAGGAGAGGGAGGAGGAGTGGTACCATATGACAGGAGAGAGGAGGAGGAGTGGGTACCATATGACAGGAGAGAGGAGGAGGAGTGGTACCATATGACAGGAGAGAGGAGGAGGAGTGGTACCATATGACAGGAGAGAGGAGGAGGGTGGTACCATATGACAGGAGAGAGGAGGAGGAGTGGTACCATATGACAGGAGAGAGGAGGAGGAGTGGTACCATATGACAGGAGAGAGGAGGAGAGTGGTACCATATGACAGGAGAGAGGAGGGGAGTGGTACCATATGACAGGAGAGAGGAGAGGTGGTACCATATGACAGGAGAAGAGGAGGAGTGGTACCATATGACAGGAGAGAGGAGGAGAGTGGTACCATATGACAGGAGAGAGGAGGAGGGGTACCATATGACAGGAGAGAGAGGAGGAGGGTACCATATGACAGGAGAGAGGAGGAGAGTGGTACCATATGACAGGAGAGAGGAGGAGGAGTGGTACCATATGACAGGAGAGAGGAGGAGGAGTGGTACCATATGACAGGAAGAGGAGGAGGAGTGGTACCATATGACAGGAGAAGGAGGGGAGTGGTACCATATGACAGAAGAGAGGAGGAGGAGTGGTACCATATGACAGGAGAGAGGAGGAGGAGTGGTACCTATATGACAGGAGAGAGGAGGAGGAGGTGGTACATATGACAGGAGAGAGGAGGATGGTACCATATGACAGGAGAGAGGAGGAGGAGTGGTACCATATGACAGGAGAGAGGAGGAGGAGTGGTACCATATGACAGGGAGAGAGGAGGAGGAGTGGTACCATATGACAGGAGAGAGGAGGAGGAGTGGTACCATATGACAGGAGAGAGGAGAGGAGTGGTACCATATGACAGGAGAGAGGAGGAGGAGTGGTACCATATGGACAGGAGAGAGGAGGGAGTGGTACCATATGACAGGAGGAGAGGAGGAGGAGTGGTACCATATGACAGGAGAGAGGAGGAGGAGTGGTACCATATGACAGGAGAGGAGGAGGAGTGTACCATATGACAGGAGAGAGGAGGAGGAGTGGTACCATATGACAGGAGAGAGGAGGAGGAGTGGTACCATATGACGGAGAGAGGAGGAGGAGTGGTACCATATGACAGGAGAGAGGGAGGAGTGGTACCATATGACAGGAGAGAGGAGGAGTGGTACCATATGACAGGAGGAGGAGGAGGAGTGGTACCATATGACAGGAGAGAGGAGGGAGTGGTACCATATGACAGGAGAGAGGAGGAGGAGTGGTACCATATGACAGGAGAGAGGAGGAGGAGTGGTACCATATGACAGGAGAGAGGAGGAGGAGTGGTACCATATGACAGGAGAGAGGAGGAGGAGTGGTACCATATGACAGGAGAGAGGAGGAGTGGTACCATATGACAGGAGAGAGGAGGAGAGTGGTACCATATGACAGGAGAGAGGAGGAGGAGTGGTACCATATGACAGGAGAGAGGAGGAGGAGTGGTACCATATGACAGGAGAGAGGAGGAGGAGTGGTCAATGGGCAGGCAGGCATCCACACACACAGAGACACAAATGGTACCACTCCAAAGTTATTTAAAAAGTCTGTCTCCGTGTCCTTCCCCCTACCTGTCCTCTTGCAGGCTCCTGAATGTCCCGACTGTAACGACCCCTGCGTTGGCCATCAGGACGTTGTTGTCCCTCTCCTGGATCTTCCTCCGCAGGTCAAAGTTAGACCTGCACCGACGGAGCTTCCACTTGGTCAGGTCCTGACAGAGGCATCAGTGGGGGAAAACACTTCAAAAACAGTGAATCACGACAGAGACAGCAACTGGTGTTAACTCCATAGTCCCAACTGGGTTGGAAGGATCAAACCCACACTCACAGGGAAGTCTTTTACAAGTTCAATTCATTTGTAGCAGAAACAATGAACCCAGTGAAGACATCCAGGGTGTGGTTTTAAACAATGAACCCAGTGAAGACATCCAGGGTGTGGTTTTAAACAATGAACCCAGTGAAGACATCCAGGGTGTGGTTTTAAACAATGAACCCAGTGAAGACATCCAGGGTGTGGTTTTAAACAATGAACCCAGTGAAGACATCCAGGGTGTGGTTTTAAACAATTAACCCAGTGAAGACATCTAGGGTGTGGTTTTAAACAATGAACCCAGTGAAGACATCCAGGGTGTGGTTTTAAACAATTAACCCAGTGAAGACATCTAGGGTGTGGTTTTAAACAATGAACCCAGTGAAGATATCCAGGGTGTGTGGTTTTAAACAATTAACCCAGTGAAGACATCTAGGGTGTGGTTTTAAACAACAATTAACCCAGTGAAGACATCCAGGGTGTGGTTTTAAACAACAATTAACCCAGTGAAGACATCTAGGGTGTGGTTTTAAACAACAATACACAAGAGGTCAGGGTCAGGCTTCATTGTGATTTGATCACAGCTGTTAAATGGGGGCCACAGGTTGAACACAGCTGTTAATGGGGACCACAGGTTGAACACAGCTGTTAAATGGGGGCCACAGGTTGAACACAGCTGTTAAATGGGGGCCACAGGTTGAACACAGCTGTTAAATGGGGGCCACAGGTTGATCACAGCTGTTAAATGGGGGCCACAGGTTGAACACAGCTGTTAATGGGGACCACAGGTTGAACACAGCTGTTAAATGGGGGCCACAGGTTGAACACAGCTGTTAAATGGGGGCCACAGGTTGAACACAGCTGTTAAATGGGGGCCACAGGTTGAACACAGCTGTTAATAGGAATTTCAGTCAGATGGTGATGAGAAACGGGACAGGTGAGTAGATAAACTGGTCTGGATGGTACAGGTAATGGACGTGTGTGAGTGTGAGTGTGTGAGTGTGTGTGATATATATATATATACACGCATCGTGTGTGTGGACTCACGCTGTGCCACTTGACCTCACTCTCCTGGACCCGGGCTCTGACCCTCTGCAGCTGGTCCTGGCTCACGGCGCTGGGGCTTAGCTCCACGCCACCCTCAGAGACCTGGCGCAACACTACCGTGGCCGACGGGAACCGCCTAATGTCATTCAACGACTTGCTCCTGTAGTAGCAGGTAGAGAGCGAGAGACGAGTGAAAAGACGAGAGAGAGAGAGACAGAGCTGCAGGTTGATGATCAGGATTTCATAGTATATTATGTTCTCCAACATTCCAGCAGCACCACCATGGCACACCAAGCAAACCAAGCTAGCCAGCGGGTCGGGCTAAACCAAGCTAGCCAGCGGGTCGGGCTAAACCAAGCTAGCCAGCAGCAACAGAGATAAACCAAGCTAGCCAGCAGCAACACACAGAGATAAACCAAGCTAGCCAGCAGCAACAGAGATAAACCAAGCTAGCCAGCAGCAACAGAGATAAACCAAGCTAGCCAGCAGCAACACACAGAGATAAACCAAGCTAGCCAGCAGCAACACACAGAGATAAACCAAGCTAGCCAGCAGCAACAGAGATAAACCAAGCTAGCCAGCAGCAACAGAGATAAACCAAGCTAGCCAGCAGCAACAGAGATAAACCAAGCTAGCCAGCAGCAACAGAGATAAACCAAGCTAGCCAGCAGCAACACACAGAGATAAACCAAGCTAGCCAGCAGCAACACACAGAGATAAACCAAGCTAGCCAGCAGCAACAGAGATAAACCAAGCTAGCCAGCAGCAACACACAGAGATAAACCAAGCTAGCCAGCAGCAACACACAGAGATAAACCAAGCTAGCCAGCAGCAACACACAGAGATAAACCAAGCTAGCCAGCAGCAACACACAGAGATAAACCAAGCTAGCCAGCAGCAACAGAGATAAACCAAGCTAGCCAGCAGCAACAGAGATAAACCAAGCTAGCCAGCAGCAACACACAGAGATAAACCAAGCTAGCCAGCAGCAACAGAGATAAACCAAGCTAGCCAGCAGCAACAGAGATAAACCAAGCTAGCCAGCAGCAACAGAGATAAACCAAGCTAGCCAGCAGCAACACACAGAGATAAACCAAGCTAGCCAGCAGCAACACACAGAGATAAACCAAGCTAGCCAGCAGCAACAGAGATAAACCAAGCTAGCCAGCGGGTCGGGCTAAACCAAGCTAGTCAGCGGGTCGGGCTAAACCAACCTAGCCAGCGGGTCGGGCTAAACCAAGCTAGCCAGCGGGTCGGGCTAAACCTAGCTAGCCAGCGGGTCGGGCTAAACCAAGCTAGCCAGCGGGTCGGGCTAAACCTAGCTAGCCAGCGGGTCGGGCTAAACCAAGCTAGTCAGCGGGTCGTGTCCTTAACTCACCATATCCATCCTGGGTTAACCTCCAAGTTTCTACAGGACCAGAGAAAGATCACACCACTTCACACTCAGATACAGTGGGGGGAAATAAGTATTTAGTCAGCCACCAATTGTGCAAGTTCTCCCACTTAAAAAGATGAGAGAGGCCTGTAATTTTCATCATAGGTACACGTCAACTATGACAGACAAATTGAGGGAAAAAAATCCAGAAAATCGCATTGTAGGATTTTTTATGAATTTATTTGCAAATTATGGTGGAAAATAAGTATTTGGTCACCTACAAACAAGCAAGATTTCTGGCTCTCACAGACCTGTAACTTCTTCTTTAAGAGGCTCCTCTGTCCTCCACTCGTTACCTGTATTAATGGCACCTGTTTGAACTTGTTATCAGTATAAAAGACACCTGTCCACAACCTCAAACAGTCACACTCCAAACTCCACTATGGCCAAGACCAAAGAGCTGTCAAAGGACACCAGAAACAAAAATTGTAGACCTGCACCAGGCTGGGAAGACTGAATCTGCAATAGGTAAGCAGCTTGGTTTGAAGAAATCAACTGTGGGAGCAATTATTAGGAAATGGATGACATACAAGACCACTGATAATCTCCCTCGATCTGGGGCTCCACGCAAGATCTCATCCCGTGGGGTCAAAATGATCACAAGAACGGTGAGCAAAAATCCCAGAACCACACGGGGGGACCTAGTGAATGACCTGCAGAGAGCTGGGACCAAAGTAACAAAGCCTACCATCAGTAACACACTACGCCGCCAGGGACTCAAATCCTGCAGTGCCAGATGTGTCCCCCTGCTTAAGCCAGTACATGTCCAGGCCCGTCTGAAGTTTGCTAGAGTGCATTTGGATGATCCAGAAGAGGATTGGGAGAATGTCATATGGTCAGATGAAACCAAAATATAATTTTTTGGTAAAAACTCAACTCGTCGTGTTTGGAGGACAAAGAATGCTGAGTTGCATCCAAAGAACACCATACCTACTGTGAAGCATGGGGGTGGAAACATCATGCTTTGGGGCTGTTTTTCTGCAAAGGGACCAGGACGAATGATCCGTGTAAAGGAAAGAATGAATGGGGCCATGTATCGTGAGAATTTGAGTGAAAACCTCCTTCCATCAGCAAGGGCATTGAAGATGAAACGTGGCTGGGTCTTTCAGCATGACAATGATCCCAAACACCCCGCCCGGGCAACGAAGGAGTGGTTTCGTAAGAAGCATTTCAAGGTCCTGGAGTGGCCTAGCCAGTCTCCAGATCCCAACCCCATAGAAAATCTTTGGAGGGAGTTGAAAGTGATGCAATGTGAATTTCTGGATTTTTTTCCCTCATTTTGTCTGTCATAGTTGACGTGTACCTATGATGAAAATTACAGGCCTCTCTCATCTTTTTAAGTGGGAGAACTTGCACAATTGGTGGCTGACTAAATACTTTTTTCCCCCCACTGTATAAGCCATTTAGCAGATGCTTTTATCCAAAGCAACTTAAGAGAAATTCGTTGCTTAAAATGTTATTTTCCCCCAGTACACGTGACACCAGCAGAAATTGAAACCCACAGCCCTGGTACTTGCAAGTGCCGTGGTCCACAAACTGAGCCACACACGACCCAGTAACATGCCCTCTCTTTAGAAGGCACCATACCAGGTTCAGTATGACGATACCGTCACGATACCGTCACGATACCGTCACGATACCACGTCATAAACAAAAAAGAAGAGACTCAGCCAAAGCCACAGAATGGCTTGCTACAGACAGATCTTTTGAAGCTCAATATCATTACATTTGAAACGTATGCATTAAAATGTATCAATCATACAAATCAATTTGACTTTATGCCTTTTCCTTTACCAAAATGGTAATAATTTATTTGAAAAAGGTAAAATCTCAATTGATAAACTGGGTAAATCAAGATGTCGCCTAGGTCTGTTCACAATGCAGGTGAATGCATATTCAATAGGAGTGTGAATGCATTGAGTTATAGAGCATGTTATGGCTGATTTCATTAGGCTACAGGTTTAAAAAAAAAAAATCCCTTCCATTTAACACTTATTTTATTGTACTGATCAACAACATTTGCTTATATGAAGCAATCTCTTCTTTTATAAAAGTGCATGCCGTCTCTTTAAGACCTATGACTTCATTAACACACACAAAGTCAGAGGCTTCAGCAAAGATGATCTTGACTGGGAGAGACGAAGTGAAACGTTTATGGTGACAATCAGCTTTGTAAATCAGCAATATTTGTCAAGTGTTCTAGACGTTGTTTTGGGAACAGTAAAACAGTTTCAACATTTCTACACGCAGTGTCGCATTATTCAAGTGTGTTAACTTACGCGCACCATTAGTGGTGACACCGCCCAGACTCCCAGGGAGTTCAGTGGTTCCTCAGAACAGGCTAGAGCCAGCATGATGCGGCCCAGACTCCCAGTGGGTTCAGTGGTTCCTCAGAACAGGCTAGAGCCAGCATGATGCGGCCCAGACTCCCAGGGAGTTCAGTGGTTCCTCAGAACAGGCTAGAGCCAGCTAACATGATGCTGCCCAGACGCCCAGTGAGTGGGTGGCTAACATGATGCTGCCCAGGCGCCCAGTGAGTGGGGAGCTAACATGATGCTGCCCAGGCGCCCAGTGAGTGGGGAGCTAACATGATGCTGCCCAGGCGCCCAGTGAGTGGGGAGCTAACATGATGCTGCCCAGACTCCCAGTGAGTGGGGAGCTAACATGATGCTGCCCAGACTCCCAGTGAGTGGGGAGCTAACATGATGCTGCCCAGGCGCCCAGTGAGTGGGGAGCTAACATGATGCTGCCCAGACGCCCAGTGAGTGGGGAGCTAACATGATGCTGCCCAGACGCCCAGTGAGTGGGGAGCTAACATGATGCTGCCCAGTGAGTGGTGAGCTAACATGATGCTGCCCAGACGCCCAGTGAGTGGGGAGCTAACATGATGCTGCCCAGTGAGTGGGGAGCTAACATGATGCTGCCCAGTGAGTGGGGAGCTAACATGATGCTGCCCAGTGAGTGGGGAGCTAACATGATGCTGCCCAGTGAGTGGGGAGCTAACATGATGCTGCCCAGTGAGTGGGGAGCTAACATGATGCTGCCCAGTGAGTGGGGGAGCTAACATGATGCTGCCCAGTGAGTGGGGAGCTAACATGATGCTGCCCAGTGAGTGGGGAGCTAACATGATGCTGCCCAGTGAGTGGGGAGCTAACATGATGCTGCCCAGTGAGTGGGGAGCTAACATGATGCTGCCCAGTGAGTGGGGAGCTAACATGATGCTGCCCAGTGAGTGGGGAGCTAACATGATGCTGCCCAGTGAGTGGGGAGCTAACATGATGCTGCCCAGTGAGTGGGGAGCTAACATGATGCTGCCCAGTGAGTGGGGAGCTAACATGATGCTGCCCAGACGCCCAGTGAGCTAACATGATGCTGCCCAGACGCCCAGTGAGTGGGGAGCTAACATGATGCTGCCCAGACGCCCAGTGAGTGGGGAGCTAACATGATGCTTCCCAGACGCCCAGTGAGTGGGGAGCTAACATGATGCTGCCCAGTGAGTGGGGAGCTAACATGATGCTGCCCAGTGAGTGGGGAGCTAACATGATGCTGCCCAGACACCCAGTGAGTGGGGAGCTAACGTGAGCGGGGAGCTAACATGATGCTGCCCAGACGCCCAGTGAGCGGGGAGCTAACATGATGCTGCCCAGACGCCCAGTGAGCGGGGAGCTAACATGATGCTGCCCAGACGCCCAGTGAGCGGGGAGCTAACATGATGCTGCCCAGACGCCCAGTGAGTGGTGAGCTAACATGATGCTGCCCAGACGCCCAGTGAGCGGGGAGCTAACATGATGCTGCCCAGACGCCCAGTGAGTGGGGAGCTAACATGATGCTGCCCAGACGCCCAGTGAGTGGGGAGCTAACATGATGCTGCCCAGTGAGTGGGGAGCTAACATGATGCTGCCCAGTGAGTGGGGAGCTAACATGATGCTGCCCAGTGAGTGGTGAGCTAACATGATGCTGCCCAGACTCCCAGTGAGCGGGGAGCTAACATGACGCAGACCAGACTCTCACATGACGACTCCCAATGAGTAAGTGGAGCAGGCAGGTGCTCTCACGCTATAAAAGGGGCCATCAGCTGCGTTGACAGACAGACTAGATCCTCTCTCAATCATTAGACGTCAGACACGTTTGATAGAAGTAACCGAAAGCCACAAATTCTAGTACCGAACTGTTTTTTTTTCTCCATGTTCTAGTACCGAGCAACACTAGTGAAAACTGCAGCAACAGCACGGACGACGTCCAACCACCCATATCACACGCGGCCGCGACCCACGCAGAACATTCATCACACTAACGCCAAATACTTTCAAAAAAAGACTCTTGTTTTATTGACCCCCCCCCCCCCCCCCCCACTGTTACATTGTTCGTTTGGTTACATCACAGTTCAAATCTAAAATTATACCCCTGTTCATATATAAAAAACGTTTACAGCCTCGTCACTTTGGGATTAACCTACAGGCCAATGTTCTTCGGAAAAACACATCTACGGGGAAATATTCTTTGCATGATTGATTATGGACAAGCATGTAGCTTGCATAAAAACACAAAAAAGGACTCCAGTACTGCTCTGCCCAGAGCCCTAGACTTTAATGGAAGGCTCTGTCCCTGCCTATACGACCAAGGTGATAAGCTTGTTGCAGGTTGTATATAAACTAGATTTAAACCACGTCACAGTGACAAGTAGGCTTGGGCGGTCTACCGTGGGTATTTGGAAATAGCCACGGGATGTTTTTTTTTTTTCCAATACCCCGTAAAAACTATTTGAAGTTTTTTTAATAAAAATGTGAATATTTGTAGCTACTTTAAGTAAAATGCCTGTAGTCACAACTTGTGCAATATGTTAGGAGACAAAAGATTGCGTTCTTCATTTCACCTGTGACATTTTTCATTCTGAAGCTTACCGGTAGTCCCCCCCAAGCGCACAACTATGAGAGATCGGAGCCTTGTGAGTCACTCACTGCTGTTGTGCAGCATGGGATCTAATTACAGGATGGAATTCACAACTAAATCTCTGCTAGATAGATATCTTATAACTATTAAAGTTAACTGTCTGAGGGGTGGGTTTAAAAGCTCATATTCTATAATAGTTATGACTGAAAAACATGGTGTATAATGTTGTAAGTGATATCTATCTAGATATAAATGTAAATCAACATATCTAAATTACTTTATTCTTGCTGTGTAACAAACAGTAAAAATAAAAAAGTGCCATGAATGTAAAATGTGTGCAGAAAGTTCATGGAACAACAAAAGAAAGAGCTGTAAAAACCACTTTTATTTATGTCCTCCGAAGAGGGATGGGCCCCAAAACATTGTGTTTAAAAAAAAAAAAGTTACAAAATAAACCAAAAAAGTATACTGCCTAAAATGTGCTAAATGCACTGCAGTTGTGCATTTGATTAGCTAATTTAGTAGCTAGTTAGCTACCTAGCTAAGTAGTTAGCTTCTTCTAAAATCAAGCTTTGATTGGTAACAGCAGATAATCCCCTCCTAGATCAAGATCCTTGAGGTGTAATATTTGCTTTGTGCAGCAAACTGTGAGTAGCATTTTTGAGTTACTTGTATAACTTCATGAGCTGGGATGTCTGTCCTGCAAATAGGTCTGAGACTGTCTAAAATGTTCCTAATGAGTTCGTTAGCATTTAGTTGACATTCTCTATGGAATTTGACATGTACTTGTTAGCATTGCTAACCTTCGGATTACAGAGGCTCAAGTGAGGTTTGAAAATGGCAGCCCCTTGTGTTCAGTGCCGCCATCTCAGGATGGAACAAAGGTCCGCATGAAGGCGTGACAATCTGGATACCCACACAAGCCTAGTTTAAATCTACTCCTTTGGAAATAGTTCCTTTCCGGTTGCACAAAGCACTGAACTGAGGCACAGGGGTGAAGGTACAGTCGGGATGGGGGGTGGCTGTAGGGAGGGGGTGCGGAGGGGGGGCAGACCGGTTTCGGGCAGACAAGACTGGAACAACGAGCCAGGGAGTGATGTCACAGCCTGAAGGAATCTGTTGTCTTTCGGCTACAAACAGGAGAGAGGGAGAGAGAAGGAAAAGGAGGAAGGAGAGAGAAGGGAAAGGAGGAAGGAGAGAGAAGGAAAAATAAATTTTAGTCATTTAGCAGACGCTCTTATCCAGAGCGACTTACAGGAGCAATTAGGGTTAAATGCCTTGCTCAAGGGCACCAGCGACCTTTCGGTTACTGGCACAACGCTCTTAACCACTAAGCTACCTGCCGTCACTAAAAGGAGGAAGGGGAAAGGAGGAAAAGGAGGAAACTGAGGAGGAAGAGAGAGGAGAGGATGGACAGGGCGAGGAGAGATCAACAGAAAGGGTTTTTCCCCACAAGAGTTGAACACCAAACGTCAACGTCAAGCATTATCCAAACCCAGCTTAATTCGAACCCAGCCATGGCCCAAGACCCACGACCCTGGGGACAGACAGACCTACATCCACATCTACCAGGGTTAGGGATTGAGTTAGGATTGTTCAAACCCAGCCATGACCCAGTTCCTGTACCAGGGTTAGGATTATTCAAACCCAGCCATGACCCAGTTCCTGTACCAGGGTTAGGATTATTCAAACCCAGCCATGACCCAGTTCCTGTACCAGGGTTAGGATTATTCAAACCGAGCCATGACCCAGTTCCTGTACCAGGGTTAGGGATTGAGTTAGGATTATTCAAACCCAGCCATGACCCAGTTCCTGTACCAGGGTTAGGATTGTTCAAACCCAGCCATGACCCAGTTCCTGTACCAGGGTTAGGGATTGAGTTAGGATTGTTCAAACCCAGCCATGACCCAGTTCCTGTACCAGGGTTAGGGATTGAGTTAGGATTATTCAAACCCAGCCACGACCCAGTTCCTGTACCAGGGATAGGGATTGAGTTAGGATTATTCAAACCCAGCCATGACCCAGTTCCTGTACCAGGGTTAGGATTATTCAAACCCAGCCATGACCCAGTTCCTGTACCAGGGTTAGGATTATTCAAACCCAGCCATGACCCAGTTCCTGTACCAGGGTTAAGGATTGAGTTAGGATTATTCAAACCCAGCCATGACCCAGTTCCTGTACCAGGGTTAGGGATTGAGTTAGGATTATTCAAACCCAGCCATGACCCAGTTCCTGTACCAGGGTTAGGGATTGAGTTAGGATTATTCAAACCCAGCCATGACCCAGTTCCTGTACCAGGGTTAGGATTATTCAAACCCAGCCATGACCCAGTTCCTGTACCAGGGTTAGGGATTGAGTTAGGATTATTCAAACCCAGCCATGACCCAGTTCCTGTACCAGGGTTAGGATTATTCAAACCCAGCCATGACCCAGTTCCTGTACCAGGGTTAGGATTATTCAAACCCAGCCATGACCCAGTTCCTGTACCAGGGTTAAGGATTATTCAAACCCAGCCATGACCCAGTTCCTGTACCAGGGTTAGGGATTGAGTTAGGATTATTCAAAACACAGCCACACCATGCCACACCCCATGGTAATGGGACAGAGCCAGACCTGAATCCCTGCATCTTGTGGTACCAGGGTCTCCTCTGAGAGCCCAGCCTGATGGTCCGGACGTGCACCTCCTCCTCTGGAGTCCAGTAGCGGGGCAGGAAACGGTTGTAGCCAGGGTTGGAGGAGGTCTGGTGGAGGGCCAGTTCCACCCGCCGGGCGTACAGGTCATCTCGGACGGGGTCAGCGTCCTCTCGCCCGTCCTCAGAGTCTTCCTCGTCGATGGAGCGCTCCACCTCAGAGAGGAGGGTGGGGGTGGCGGAGGAGGAGGGGGGGTCGTGGAACGGGTTGGGAAGGAACTGAGACACTGCGGTACTACCGCTGCTGTTCAACCAGAGGGATAGACAGGACAGCAGTCCGTGTTAAAGTGGACATTCCCAATAAATAAAAAAACACAGTGAGTCACTTACAGCGAGGTGTCGAGTAGAGAGTTAGGAGCACTGGTCACAATATGCTGCTAACCAGAGCTGTCATCAACATCAACCCTCCGCGTGTTAGAGTGAATGGGACGACATGCCAACTAAAACACTGGCACAACAGTTAGGAGCAGCCACACCTTTCACGTTTCACACTACATCTCCTTGTTGAGCACAACCAGGGTTAGTGGAACACGGAGCTAGCTCTGTTCCAGGAGTTTCATGGAACGGCAACAGGCAAACCACTCCATCTTATTTAACCTAAACTTGGTTTGCTGGAGCATAGAGGGTACAAAACACACTCCCAGAGTCAACAGAACCAAAACACACTCCCAGAGTCAACAGAACCCACCTGCAGGAGTTGAAGATAACGTGAAAAATCAGATAGCAGTAATCCAGACACACGACCGGCCACACGCTAGTGGTTTCAGTAGCTGTTAGCTTGATGACAGGACCAGCCACACGCTAGTAGTTTCAGTAGCTGTTAGCTTGATGACAGGACCGACCACACGCTAGTGGTTTCAGTAGCTGTTAGCTTGATGACAGGACCAGCCACACGCTAGTGGTTTCAGTAGCTGTTAGCTTGATGACAGGACCGGCCACACGCTAGTAGTTTCAGTAGCTGTTAGCTTGATGACAGGACCGGCCACACGCTAGTGGTTTCAGTAGCTGTTAGCTTGACAACAGGACCGGCCACACGCTAGTGGTTTCAGTAGCTGTTAGCTTGACAACAGGACCAGCCACACGCTAGTGGTTTCAGTAGCTGTTAGCTTGACAACAGGACCGGCCACACGCTAGTGGTTTCAGTAGCTGTTAGCTTGACAACAGGACCAGCCACACGCTAGTGGTTTCAGTAGCTGTTAGCTTGATGACAGGACCGGCCACACGCTAGTAGTTTCAGTAGCTGTTAGCTTGATAACAGGACCGGCCACACACGCTAGTAGCTGTTAGCTTGATGACGATCACAACCCTGATATAAAACCATTAAACACAAAACGCCTCGCTTTCTCTCTGTCTGACCTGGGAGAGGACACTGCGGTGTGTCTGGGGAGGGTGTCAATCCTAAACAGGCGGGGGCTTCCTGTCCACAGCCTCAACGTGCCCTGCGGGCTCATGGGTACCGCAAAATTTGTGGCCGTGGCTGGTGAAGGGGAGCGGAAACGTCGACTGGCCAGGTCGTCCGCGAAAACGTCCGGATCGGGCCGGTCGGCATCCGAGTCGCTGTCGCTATGGTACGCCCACTGGAGGAAGGCCTCCACATCAGGCAGTTGGGGGAGGGGCGGCCTCAGAGAGGGAGGGGCCACACTGATCAGAGACCAATCAGAGTTAAGTCAACAACATTGAGGTTCGGTTCCTAAGTGACAATGGTTTTCAAACAGTCGATTCCAACAACTGTATGCATTGTAATGTAGGAAATACAACAACGATGTTTACTGCATCATCTAGATCTCACCATGTTGACACCTACGGAGCCGAATAGAAGCCACCACGATGCTAATTCAATTAGCAGAAAACTAAAAATGTGGTACTCAAGTAAAGCAACTAATTAAAAACGAATATTAACAACTATTCTTTAAAAACAGTCATCGGTGAGTATGACATCACAGTACCTGGTGAGGGGGCTGGGGGGGTAGCCCTTAATTGGGTATTCCTCCTGTTTCTTCCTCTGGAGGGATGCAGGTACGATCCTCCCGTTGCCCTGTCCAGAGTCTCTGCCCTCCGCCGACTCCATCCTAAAACAGTTCTCTGCCTCCGCGTCACTGCTGGAGTCTGGGGAGGGAGGGAGGAGAAGAGAGAGGGAGGGAGGAGAAGAGAGAGGGAGGGAAGGAAAGAGACAGCAGCTTATAGACAAGTAAAGGAGTAAAATAACAGAGAAGAGAAGCCAAACGAGAACTCAGAAGGAATGAAAATAAGCTCAGCACCACAGCAGTAAATGCAGCCTCCAACTGAGAGATAATGAATCTAGTCCTAGCCAGTCAACAGAGATAATGAATCTAGTCCTAGCCAGTCAACAGAGAGATAATGAATCTAGTCCTAGCCAGTCAACAGAGAGATAATGAATCTAGTCCTAGCCAGTCAACAGTGGAGTGGCATTAGGGAGCAGTCCTAACAGTGACCCAAATGGCACCCTATTCCCTATATAGTGCACTACAGGGCTCTGATCTAAAGTAGTGCACTATGTAGGGAATAGGGTGTCATTTGGGACTGATTCTGAGACTAGCCTCTATCATCCTGGTGCCCCACCTCTGGCCCGCTCCAGGCATGAGTCACGGCCCATTTTCAGACCTGTGTGGAACCAGATGGAATGTCTCACAGAGGAGAGAGCTAGCAGGACTGGGAACCAGATGGAATGTCTCACAGAGGAGAGAGCTAGCAGGACTGGAGCAGGGAAAGGGCATTGCCGTCAGCGCGTCCTTCTCTGGGAACAGCGGCATTCCTGATAGCGGACTACTAATATTGTGCCCATTAACTTTGGATACTGTTAGTAGCGTGTTTATGTATCCACTGGAAACTACCTCTTCACATCCTGTTTACCGTATTCGGACTAAAAGCTAGCCAATGAGGTCGGCTACAACAATATATTCCAGTATGTTCCGGTCCTCACCCTCGCTGCCGGCCCTCAGGATGGAGTCAGACATAAAGCTGAGGGTACGTGACTCCACCGAGTCAAAGCTCAGGACAGACTTAAAGCTCTCTACGGAGTCCTCTCTGCTGTAGCCGGGTGGCTGGGTTAGCGGTAGCAGCTGGTCCCCTCTCTCTGGGTAGCACACCTCACTGGAGCCACTGTCCCTCACACTGCCTCTGGGGGCCTCTTCTAGAGCCTGGGAGAGAGAGGGGAGAGACAGAATCCTGAAGGTATTTCAGATGCATTTTATTTAGCTTCGCATATTTAACAAATATCCATTGGTTCCACTGTACAGGGCAAAGGACATCTAAGCCTTGTCTTCCCTAAAAGGCCTTGAGGTTTAGCTGAGGGTTAAGGTGAGGGGTTAGGCTGAGGCGTTAGGGAGGATGTTACCTTGGACAGAGCGATGCCCAATAGTCCCTCGAATGCTCTGAGGTTGAGCTGAGGACCAGAGTAGAAGGGGTCCACCTGAGCCTTCCGCCCAAGCCAGTAGATGGTGATTAGAACCTGGAGGAGGAGAGGACAGATCACTGCATTGGGCAGGATCTTTATCCTTCATTATGAGGAGAGGACAGATCACTGCATTGGGCAGGAGCTTTATCCTTCATTATGAGGAGAGGACAGATCACTGCATTGGGCAGGAGCTTTATCCTTCATTATGAGGTAGAGAATAGTCATAGTGGGGGAGGGGGTGAGGTAGAGGATAGTCATAGTGGGGGAGGAGGTGAGGTAGAGGATAGTCATCTGGGGGGGTGAGGTAGAGGATAGTCGTCATGGGGGGGTGAGGTAGAGGATAGTCATAGTAGGGGGGTGAGGTAGAGGATAGTCATAGTAGGGGGGGTGAGGTAGAGGATAGTCATAGTAGGGGGGGTGAGGTAGAGGATAGTCATAGTAGGGAGGGTGAGGTAGAGGATAGTCATAGTAGGGGAGGGTGAGGTAGAGGATAGTCATAGTAGGGGAGGGTGAGGTAGAGGATAGTCATAGTAGGGGGGGTGAGGTAGAGGATCGTCATAGTAGGGGGGGGTGAGGTAGAGGATAGTCATAGTGGGGGGGGTGAGGTAGAGGATAGTCATAGTAGGGGGGGGTGAGGTAGAGGATAGTCATAGTAGGGGGGGTGAGGTAGAGGATAGTCATAGTAGGGGGGGGGTGAGGTAGAGGATAGTCATAGCAGGGGGGTGAGGTACGAGGATAGTCATAGTAGGGGGGGGGTAGAGGATAGTCATAGTAGGGGGGGTGAGGTAGAGGATCGTCATAGTAGGGGGGGTGAGGTAGAGGATAGTCATAGTAGGGGGGGTGAGGTAGAGGATAGTCATAGTAGGGGGGGTGAGGTAGAGGATAGTCATAGTAGGGGGGTGAGGTAGAGGATAGTCATAGTAGGGGGGGTGAGGTAGAGGATAGTCATAGTAGGGGGGTGAGGTAGAGGATAGTCATAGTAGGGGGGTGAGGTAGAGGATAGTCATAGTAGGGGGGTGAGGTAGAGGATAGTCATAGTAGGGGGGTGAGGTAGAGGATAGTCATAGTAGGGGGGGTGAGGTAGAGGATAGTCATAGTAGGGGGGGTGAGGTAGAGGATAGTCATAGTAGGGGGGTGAGGTAGAGGATAGTCTATAGTAGGGGGGGTGAGGTAGAGGATAGTCATATGTGGGTGAGGTAGAGTATAGTCATAGTGGGGGGGTGAGGTAGTAGGAGGATAGTCATAGTGGGGGGGGGAGGTAGAGGATAGTCATAGTAGGGGGGGGGGTGAAGTAGAGGATAGTCATAGCGGGGGAGGGGGTGGGGGGTAGAGGATAGTCATAGTAGGGGGGGTGAGGTAGAGGATAGTCATAGTAGGGGAGGGTGAGGTAGAGGATAGTCATAGTAGGGGGGGTGAGGTAGAGGATAGTCATAGTAGGGGGGGTGAGGTAGAGGATAGTCATAGTAGGGGGGGTGAGGTAGAGGATAGTCAGTAGGGGGGGTGAGGTAGAGGATAGTCGTCATGGGGGTGAGGTAGAGGATAGTCGTCATGGGGGTGAGGTAGAGGATAGTCGTCATGGGGGGTGAGGTAGAGGATAGTCGTCATGGGGGGGTGAGGTAGGGATAGTCTAGTAGGGGGGGGGAGGTGAGGAGGCATGGGTGGGTAGGAGGATAGTCGTCAGGGGGGGTGAGGTAGAGGATAGTCATAGTAGGGGGGTGAGGTAGAGGATAGTCATAGTAGGGGGGTGAGGTAGAGGATAGTCATAGTGGGGGGTGATGAGGTGAGGGGGGGTAGAGGATAGTCATAGTGGGGGGTGAGGTAGAGGATAGTCATGGGGGGGTGTGAGGTGTCGGGGGGGAGGTAGAGGATAGTCATAGTAGGGGGGGTGAGGTAGATGATAGTCGTCATGGGGTGAGGTGAGGATAGTTAGGGGTGAGGTAGAGGATAGTCGTCATGGGGGTGAGGTAGAGGATAGTCGTCATGGGGGGGTGAGGTAGAGGATAGTCGTCATGGGGGGGGTGAGGTAGAGGATAGTCGTATGGGGGTGAGGTAGAGGATAGTCGTCATGGGGGGGTGAGGTAGAGGATAGTCATAGGAGGGTGAGGTAGGGATTAGTAGGGGGTAGAGGATAGTCATAGTGGGGGGGTGAGGTAGAGGAGAGGTCATGGGGGGTGAGGTAGAGGATAGTCTAGTAGGGGGGGTGAGGTAGAGAGATAGTCATAGTAGGGGGGGTGAGGTAGTTAGAGGATAGTCATAGTAGGGGGGTGAGGTAGAGGATAGTCATAGTAGGGGGGGGGGTAGAGGATAGTCATAGTAGGGGGGGTAGAGGATAGTCAGTCATGGGGGGAGGTGAGGAGTCATGGGTGAGGTAAGGATAGTAGTGGGGGGTGAGGTAGAGGATAGTTCATAGTAGGGGGTGGTGAGGTAGAGATGTCATAGTAGGGCGAGGGGTGAGGTAGAGGATAGTCATAGTAGGGGGGGGGTAGGGTAGTCATAGTAGGGGGATGACGTTCATAGTAGGGGGGGTGAGGTAGAGGATAGTCATAGTAGGGGGGGTGAGGTAGAGGATAGTCATCAGTAGGGGGGTGAGGTAGAGGATAGTCGTCATGGGGGGGTGAGGGTAGAGGATAGTCGTCATGGGGGTGAGGTAGAGGATAGTCGTCAAAGGGGGGGTGAGGTAGAGGATAGTCGTCATGGGGGGTGAGGTAGAGATAGTCGTCATGGGGGGTGAGGTAGAGGATAGTCATAGTAGGGGGGTGAGGTAGAGGATAGTCTGTAGGGGGGGTGAGGTTTGAGGATAGTCATAGGGGGGGGTGAGGTAGAGGATAGTCTATAGGGGGGTGAGGTAGAGGATAGTCATAGTAGGGGGGGTGAGGTAGAGGATGTCATAGTAGGGGGGTGAGGTAGAGGATAGTCATAGTAGGGGGGGTGAGGTAGAGGAAGTGTCATAGTGGGGGTGAGGTAGAGGATAGTCAGTAGGGGGGGGAGGTAGAGGATAGTCTGTAGGGGGGGTGAGGTAGAGGATAGTCTATAGGGGGGAGGTGGTAGAGGATAGTCATAGTAGGGGGGGTGAGTAGAGGATATGTCAATAGTAGGGGGTGGGGGGAGGTAGAGGATAGTCCCTAGTAGGGGGGGTGAGGTAGAGGATAGTCATAGAGGGGGTGAGGTAGGAGGATAGTCATAGTGGGGGGGTGAGGTAGAGGATAGTCTAGTAGGGGGGTGAGGTAGAGGATAGTATAGTAGGGGGGTGAGGTAGAGGATAGTCATAGTAGGGGGGGTGAGGTAGAGGATAGTCATAGTGGGGGGGTGAGGTAGAGGATAGTCATAGTAGGGGGGGGTGAGGTAGAGGATAGTCATAGTAGGGGGGGTGAGGTAGAGGATAGTCATAGTAGGGGGGGTGAGGTAGAGGATAGTCATAGTAGGGGGGGGGGGTGAGGTAGAGGATAGTCATATGGGGGGGTGGGAGGTTAGAGGATAGTCATAGTAGGGGGGGTGAGGTAGAGGATAGTCATAGTAGGGGGGTGAGGTAGCAGGATAGTCATAGTAGGGGGAGGTGAGGTAGAGGATAGTCATAGTAGGGGGGGGGGTGAGGAGAGGATAGTCATAGTAGGGGGGGTGAGGTAGAGGATAGTCATAGTAGGGGGGGGGTGAGGTAGATGGGATAGTCATAGTAGGGGGGGTGAGGTAGGGATAGTCATGGGGGGGTGAGGTAGAGGATAGTCATAGTAGGGGGGGTGAGGTAGAGGATAGTCATAGAGGGGGGGGTGAGGTAGAGGGATAGTCATAGTAGGGGGGGTGAGGTAGAGGATAGTCATAGTAGGGGGGGTGAGGTAGAGGATAGTCATGTAGGGGAGGATGAGGTAGAGGATAGTCATAGTAGGGGGGTGAGGTAGAGGATAGTCATAGTAGGGGGGGTGAGGTAGAGGATAGTCATAGTAGGGGAGGGTGAGGTAGAGGATAGTCATAGTAGGGGGGGGTTGAGGTAGAGGATAGTCATAGTAGGGGGGGGGGTGAGGTAGAGGATAGTCGTCATGGGGGGGTAGAGGATAGTCGTAGTAGAGGGGGTGAGGTAGAGGATAGTTGTCATGGGGGTGAGGTAGAGGATAGTCGTCATGGGGGGGTAGAGGACGGGGGGGGTGAGGTAGAGGACAGTCATAGTAGGGCAGGTTCCTGTTACACAGTAAAAGCATTTGCAATGGAAATGATGAAAGTTCCAAGTTAGAGCTCAATCCCGTTCTAGCTTCCCCAGATCTTTCAGTGAACACAAACAATTAAAAAGTACATGTTCACTTACGTTTTTCAGCCTCCTTTTGCCCTCTACACGCCTGAGAAGGAAAGGAGGGGATTTCTTAGTCCGAGCAGACACACAGACTAATATTAACCCATGGCTTCCCAATAATAAAGGTGATCCATTATGACAGTCAATAAAGTATTATTCTGTTTAAATATGAAGCAGATGCTAAGCTACTGTTTTGCTAGCACAGACTGGAATATGTTCCGGGATTCTTCCGATGGCATTGAGGAGTACACCACATCAGTCACTGGCTTCATCAATAAGTGCATCGATGACGTCGTCCCCACAGTGACCGTACGTACATATCCCAACCAGAAGCCATGGATTACAGGCAACATCCGCACTGAGCTAAAGGGTAGAGCTGCCACTTTCAAGGAGCTGGACACTAACCTGGAAGCTTATAAGAAATCCTGCTACGCCCTCCGATGAACCTTCAAACAGGCAAAGCGTCAATACATGACTAAGATCGAATCGTACTACACTGGCTCCGACGCTCGGATGTGGCAGGGCTTGCAAATTATTACAGACTACAAAAGGGAAGCACAGCCGCGAGCTGCCCAATGACACGAGCTTACCAGACGAGCTAAACCACTTCTATGCTCGCTTCGAGGCAAGCAACACTGAAACATGCATGAGAGCATCAGCTGTTCCGGACGACTGTGTGGTCGCGCTCTCCGTAGCCGATGGGAGTAAGACTTAAGCAGGTCAACATTCCCAAGGCCGCAGGGCCAGACGGATTACCAGGACGTGTACTCCGAGCATGTGCTGACCAACTGGCAAGTGTCTTCACTAACATTTTCAACATGTCCCTGACTGAGTCTGTAATACCAACATGTTTCAAGCAGACCATCATAGTCCCCGTGCCCAAGGACTCTAAGATAACCTGCCTAAATGACTACCGACCTGTATCAGTCACGTCTGTAGCCATGAAGTGCTTTGAAAGGCTGGTCATGGCTCACATCAACAGAAATCCTAGACCCACTCCAATTTGCATACCGCCCCAACAGATCCACAGATGATGCAATCTCTATTGGACTCCACACTGCCCTTTCCCACCTGGACAAGAGGAACACCTACGTGAGAATGCTATTCATTGACTACAGCTCAGCGTTCAACACCATAGTGCCCTCAAAGCTCATCACTAAGCTAAGGATCCTAGGACTAAACACCTCCCTCTGCAACTGGATCCAGAACTTCCTGACGGGCCGCCCCCCGGTGGTAAGGGTAGGTAACAACACATCCACCACGCTGATCCTCAACACGGGGGCCCCTAAGGGGTGCGTGCTCAGTCCCCTCCTGTACTCCCTGTTCACCCATGACTGCATGGCCAGGCACGACTCCAACACCATCATTACGTTTGCGGATGACAACAGTGGTAGGCCTGATCACTGACAACAATGAGACAGCCTATAGGGAGGAGGTCAGAGACCTGGCCGTGTGGTGCCAGGATAACAACCTCTCCCTCAACGTGATCAAGACAAAGGAGATGATTGTGGACTACAGGACAAAGAGGACTGAGCACGTCCCCATTCTCATCGACGGGGCTGTAGTGGAACAGTTTGAGAGCTTCAAGTTCCTTGGTGTCCACATCACCAACGAACTATCATGGTCCAAACACACCAAGACAGTCGTGAAGAGGGCACGACAAAGCCTATTCCCCCTCAGGAGACTGAAAAGATTTGGCATGGGTCCTCAGATCCTCAAAAGATTCTACAGCTGCACCATCGAGAGCATCCTGACTGGTTGTATCACTGCCTGGTACGCCAACTGCCTGGCATCCGACCGCAAGGCACTCCAGAGGGTAGTACGTACGGTCCAGTACATCTCTACTGTTTATTATCTATGCATAGTGACTTTAATAGCTACCTACATGTACTTATGTTACTAGCTCCTAGCAGTGCAGCTAAATGCTTGTGTTACTAGCTCCTAGCAGTGCAGCTAAATGCTTGTGTTACTAGCTCCTAGCAGTGCAGCTAAATGCTTGTGTTCCTAGCTCCTAGCAGTGCAGCTAAATGCTTGTGTTCCTAGCTCCTAGCAGTGCAGCTAAATGCTTGTGTTCCTAGCTCCTAGCAGTGCAGCTAAATGCTTGTGTTCCTAGCTCCTAGCAGTGCAGCTAAATGCTTGTGTTCCTAGCTCCTAGCAGTGCAGCTAAATGCTTGTGTTCCTAGCTCCTAGCAGTGCAGCTAAATGCTTGTGTTACTAGCTCCTAGCAGTGTAGTAAAAATGTCAAACAAAATAATTATCAAAACTAGAAGCAAGAAATCAGGAATGTCAGGATGAATCCAGTTAACAGCCCAAATAACACTAACAGTAATCCAATCTATACATATATACAACAACCAGATAAACAAGGAATGTTATGTACAGAGGTAGATATATCACAATGAGCTCTGTGAATAATCCGGTATATGAATCCACAGTGTAAAAAAACAGTATTAAATGAAACGGTCCAATGTTTAATGTCTCTATACACATGGGTTCGATTATGATTGACACCCTCCATAATGACTGACACCCTCCGGGCGGCAGGTAGCTTAGTGGTTAAGAGCGTTGTGCCAGTAACCGAAAGGTCGCTGGTTCTAATCCCCGAGCCGACTAGGTGAAAAATCTGTCGATGTGCCCTTGAGCAAGGCACTTAACCCTAATTGCTCCTGTAAGTCGCTCTGGATAAGAGCATCTGCTAAATGACCAATTATTTATTTATTTATTTATTATTATAATGACTGACACCCTCCATAATGACTGACACCCTCCATAATGACTGACACCCTCCATAATGTTTAAATAGCCACTCTGATAATATAAAGTATTATTCTGTTTAAATAGCCACTGATAATATAAAGTATTATTCTGTTTAAATAGCCACTGATAATACATGGACTCTCATTTGCAACACCACACTGTTGACTATTCATCTTGCCATTTGCTTTTTAGCTGCCTAGTCAAAACAGCTCCTTAAAAATGGTGCTGTGAGACAGACAACCAACTATCAACACCATGCAATCACCGATAACACAGAACTAGCAGTATAACAGTATATAGGACAACCTAGCCACCACAAGCCATTAGGCCATCCAGTCAGTGTACACTAGCGTTCCAACCAGTGAGACAGAGGTCAAGAAATACGCGGGGGAAACACTAACTGAACATCGACAGGTGCTGCCTAATGAACAAACATCGACAGGTGCTGCCTAATGATTTAAACATCACTATAAGTCCAGCAGCACTTGGGATAAAAGCATGTTCGTGTACATATTAACCCCTTCACTTCCATTTGCTTTGTTCTACAAATATCAATATATTTCACCAAATAAAATGTGTTGACCTGAAACTCAATTTTACCTGAGTGTAGCGCGTGTGGACAGGTCTTGCAGGTCTCCAGGGTGAAACAGCTGGGCCTCGTGCAGACCCAGCGTACCGCACGCTCTCAGAAACACATTGACATTGTCCTGGAGGAGAGGGAGGGCCATGCGTGGGACCGAGCGAACATGCTGGAGGGTGGAGAGGAGCAGCGTGAGGGGTAACTCACTAGCATTTTTTTTGAGAGGGGACGGGCGAGCGGCAGGTCTAGGGAGAAGGGCGATGCGGTAGTGGGACCCTGGACAGGGGTGGGGAGGAGAAGGAGGATAGGCTGAGAGAGGGAGAGGGGGTGTGAGCTTTTTCTCTCTGATCTTTGTTTCTTCTTTCGGGGGAGGAATGAGGGGGCAGGGTGTTGCGGTAGCACCCGGGCGGGGGGGAAGCGGGAGGAAGACGAAGGAGGAGGAGGGAGGGGGTTCCGTGGAAAGATAGGGTGGGGGAGAGAGGAGGGGAGGGGGGGGGGGGAAGTTGCTCTTGCCCTGAGGGGACCTTCCGGGGGGGGAGGGCGGTTGAGAGGGGAGGGGGAGGGGGGTGGGTAGAGAAGGGAGGGGAGGGGAAGGAGGAGATGGGAGGGGGGGGGGAGGGGGGGAGGAAGAAAGGAGGAGAGGGAGGGAGGGTGGAGAGGAGGAAGAGGGAGGGGTAGTTTGTAAGAGAGGGGAGGAGAGGGAGGGTAGAAGGGGCAGAATTGAGGGGGGTGTTTAGCTTTCAGAGGGGGAGGGCGAGGACGAGGTGATAAGGGGGTGAGAGGGGATTTGTTTGGGCGGCGCCTCTACGTACGGGAGAGGATGGAACGCTTCTGTAACGACGGTGGATTGTGTGTGGGCTTTTCGATGTCTTGCCCTCTCCGGGGGGAGGGGAGGAGGCGGAAAACGGACCTAAACGGATGAGGAGGTCTCATGGGGGGGGGATGTACGGGAAGGACGCTTTCGGCGGTCTGGAGTGATTGGATGAAGAGGATAGGAAGTGAGAGGGAGGCGATCGGGGGTGAGGGGGAGAATGCGGGGGGCAGGGGGGGGTGAGGACTTGAGGGGAGGCTGAGGGGGCGGTGGTGGCTGAGGGGTGGGGATGGTTGCGGGGAGGTGAGGCCTTGGGGTTGAGCGGGTGAGAGGATAGGGAGGGGAGGAGAGGAGGACGCGGAGGGAGGGGGAGAGGGGTGATGCAGGAGCTTTCCTCCGGGGGCGGTGTTGAGGGATGACGGGAGGGGCGAGCAGATGGGAGGAAATGAGGGGGAGGGGGGGAGAGGAGGGATTTTTTTTCTTCTTTTTGGGCCGGATGGGGGAGCGAGAGAGGTGAGGGGAGGAGGCCGAGGAGGGGGGGTCGGAGCGATGCACTTGGGGGGGGGGGAGGCGGTCGGAGGAGGGACCGAGGGAGGGCGAGGTTCGCGGGGGGAGAGGGCGGAGGGAGGAGGGGAGGGGAAGACAAGGAGGAGGAGGAGGAGGGGGGGACCGGATGCGTGACAAAATGAGGGGAGCCGCCGTCAGTCGGAGAGGGGGGGGAGGGGGGGGGGAGTTTGGGGAGAGGGGGGGTAGAGAGGGAGGGGAGGGGGTAGAGAAGGGAGGGTGAGGGGGGAGGAGAGAGGGGGGGGTAGAGAGGGAGGGGAGGGGAGGTAGAGGAGGTAGAGAGGGAGGGGAGGGGGGGTTAGTGAAGAGGAGAGCAAGTGTGAGGGGAGGGAGGCAGCGAGGAAGGGGAGGCGTAGGGTGAGGGGAAGAGGGAGGGAAGGGAGGGCGACGGGGGGGGATGAGTCAGTGGAGGGTGGAGGGGGGGGGGACGAGAGGGGGGGAGAGGGCAGGGGGGAGAGAGGGAGGGGAGGGGAGGAGAAGAACGAGAGGAGGGGGAGGAGCGAGAGGGAGGGCGAGGAGGGGAGGGAGAGGGGAGGGAGGGCGCGCGGAGGGGGGTGGAGGGGAGGGTAGGGAGGGGAGGAGGACGAGGTTTGGTAGTGGGGGAGTTACCATACAGGACAAACATCAGAGGAAGAAAAGGCTGTGGCCTTATGACGAATCAATATGAGCGGTGGGAGGAGTCTCTCAACAGCTTTCCAGGATCTTTCAAACAAAAACACTTGGACTATTTTGGGGTTTTTTTGGCTCTAGCCGGCTGAACCAAATGGGGTTATAACTATACAGAGGACTCAGTTGTCACGTTCGTAAACATTCAACAAAACGCTCCACTAGATCGTCGACGGTTTCCAGATCCGTCTTTCATACTAAGGCAGGAGGGAAAAACCGCAGGAGGGAGGGACAGGAGAGGAAGAGGATGACCAGACAGAGACTCCCCACTTTTTTTTTTTGTGGACCATTGTCTCATATGAAACTCTAGAAAACGGCGCACAGCGCCACAGGCACACAGGGAACTCACCAGTCCAGCCATGGGAGTAGACAGTGTGTTCATTCTCTTTATAATGCCTGGTTTCAACCGGTTGATTAGACTGAGAAAGGAGACAAGAGGGATGAATAGATGAGTTGGGGAGCGTGACCACCTGACCACACCAGGACCTGACACATAAAACAGTAAGGGGTTTACAGAAGCCCATCCTATGTGATTCATTCATCATTTACCGGCAGCAGAGCCAGGGATCCATTCTCCAGTTAGATACATTCCCACATAATACTCACTGGCAGAAGGCAGGACTTCCATTCTGCCAGATAGAGGACTACAAGTTCCCACAATACTCACTAGCAGCGCAGGGGGACCTCAATTCTCCAAAGATATACACTACAGTTCCACAATAACTCACGGCAGAGCAGGCTCCATCTCCAGAGATTACCAACATACAGTTCCCACAAATACTCATGGCAGAGCAGGGACTCCACATTCTCCCAAGATATACACTACAGTTTCCCACAAATAACTCACCGGCAGAGCAGGGGGACCTCCATTCACTCAAGATATAGAATTACAGTCCCACACTACTCAATGGGCAGAGCAGGAATCCTTCTCCCAGATATAGATTACAGTTCCCACAATACTCACTAGCCAGAGCAGGACTCCATTCTCCAGATATTTAACTACAAGTTCCACAATACTCACCGGCCCAGCACAGAGCAGGGACCTCCATCACAAGGATATAGATTACAGTATCCCCACCCCCAATTAATACTGCAGAGCAGGACTCCTTCTCCAGATATAGGACTACAGTTCCCCACAATACTCCACGGCAGAGGCAGGACCTCCATCTACAGGATATAGATATACAGTTCCCACAATAATCCAACGGCAGAGGCAGGAATCCATTCTCCGATTACACACTACAGTTTACCACAATACTCACTGGCAGAGGCCAGGACTCCATTCTCCAGATATAAGACTACAGTTCCCACAAGACTACACTAGCAGAGCAGGGACTCCATTCTCCAAGGATATTAGGGACTACAGTCCAACAATTACTCACCGGCAGAGCAGGGATCCATCTCCAGACTATACAATACGGTTTCCCAAAAACTACTCACCGCAGCAAGCAGAGAGCAGAATCCATTCTCCAGATATACACTACAGTTTCACACCAATATCACTGGCAGAGCAGGGACTCCATTCTCCAGATATAGACTACAGTTCCCACAAAATAATCACTGGAGAGGCAGGACTCCATTTTCCCCAGATATTTACAACTACAGTTCCCACAATACTCACCGGCAGAGCAGCAAGGACTCCATTCACAAGATATAAGACTACAGTTCCCACAATACTCAATGGCAAGCAGGGAGCAGGACATCCATTTTCCGATATAGATACATTCCCCACCAATACTTCATAGCAGGAGAGGGACTTCAATTCTCCAGATATACACTACAGTTTCCCACCAATACTCACCGGACAAGCAGAGCAGGACTCCATTTACAAGGGATATATAGAACTTACAGTTCCCACAATATCCACTGGCAGAGCAAGGACTCCATTTCTCCCAGATATAGACTACAGTTACCACAATTAAACTCACTGGGCAAGGGCAGACTCCATTCTCCAGATATAGGACTACAGTTCCCACAATGTAACGCAACCCGGGCAGGAGCAGGGGACTCCATTCTCCAGATACACACTACAGTATACCACAAACAATACTCCAATGGCCAGAGGCAGGGACTCCATTCTCCAAGATATAGACTAAGTTCCCACCAATACTCACTGGCCCAGAGCAGGACTCCCATTCTCCAGATATGAGGACTACAGTACCCCACAATAATCACCAGCCAAGGAGCAGGACTCCATTCTCCAGATTTATACACTAAACAGTTCCACAATACTCACTGGCAGAGCCAGGAGACTCCATTCTCCAGATAATCGATACAGCAGTTCCCACCACAATAAACTCCACGTGGGCGAGCAGGACTCCATCTCCAGAGATATAGGACTACAGGTCCCACAATACTCACCGCAGGAGCAGGGACACATTCTCCAGATATAGGACTACAGTTCCCACAATAACTCACTGGGCAGAGCAGGAATAAATCTCCGAGATATATAGTACAGTTCCCCACCAATACTCACGGGCAGAGCAGGACTCATTCTCAAGATATACACTTACAGTTCCCACCAAATACTCATGGCAGAGCAGGAAACTCCATTCTCCAGATATCAGACTACCAAGTTCCACCATAATTTCACTGGCAGAGGAAGGAGAGGACAACCATCTCAAGATATACCACTTTTACAGTTCCCACAATACTCACTGGCAGTGAGCACAGAGCAGGACTCCATTCTCCCAGATAACACTACAGTTACCACAATCTTCACTGGGGCAGAGCACAGAGCAGGACTCAATTTCTCCCCATATACACACAGTTCCCCCCAAATACTCACCGGCAGAGGCAGAGGGACTCATTCTCAGATATACACTACAAGTATCCCCACAATACTCACTGACAGAGGGGCAGACCCATTCTCCAATATACACTACAAGTTTCCCCACAATACCATGGCAGCACGAGCAAGGACTCCATCTTCCAAGAATAGGGAAATACAGTTTCCCACAATACCAATGGCACGGAGCAGAGGACTCCATTCTCCAGATATAGACTTACACGTTTCCCAAAAATTACTCACTGGCAGAGCAGGACTCCATTCGTCCAAGATATAGAACTGCAGTTCCCACAATTAAATTCACCTGGCCAGAGCGGACTCCATTCTCCAAGATTATAGACTACAGTTTCCACAATATCATGGCAGAGCAAGGATTCAATTCTCCAGATATACACTACCAAGTTCCCACAATACTCACTGAGAGCAGGGACTCCATTCTCAGATTATAGACTACAGTTCCACACTACCACTGGGAAGCCAGACCGACTTCCATTCTCCAGAATACACTACAGTTCCACAATACTCACTGGCAGCAGCAGGAGGCAGGACTCCCATTCTCCGATTAGGACTAACAGTTCCCACAAATACTCATTGGCAGGAGCAGGACTACATTCTCCAGATTATAGGAACTACAGTTCCCACAATGTAAACTCACTGGCAGCAGCAGAGCAGGGGGACCTGCTCCATTCTACCAGGATTATAGACTAAGTTCCCACAATAAACTCACTGGCAGAGGGCGAGGGGACCCATTTTCTTCCAGATAATAGCTAAGTTCCCACAATACTCACTGGCAGAGCAGGATCTCCATTCTCCAGGGCTGAGCGGAAGTTGTTGCATCCAAAAGTTTTTATCGTCACTTCATATACAGGGAGAGAGGCCGAGAGCAAAGAACAAGCAACATCTTAGATCACCTTAACAGAAATTAAAAACAAAAAAGCAAAAAAAACATGCAAGAGACATTTTTCACTACATTTCCTCTTGGGAATCACTGAGATTACGATCTAGTAACTGATCTTATTGCATTAATTATGTTTTTTTAATCGAGATATTATGCATTGTTACCACCATTTCCACAAATTCTCATTAACGTAACGGGTCAAAAAAAAAAGGTAATAAAACAAATCATCAAATTTTCTAATTTTTTTTAAAATGACATTGCTCCCCTAAATGAAAAAGGTCTGAAGTTAAAACACTGAAAATAAACAAAAACAACATGAAATTCGAAATAATAAATTAAAATTGGACTTATGCCGTTCAGTAATGAGAAATAAAAAAACAAATTCATTCGAGAGATAAAGCCAAGTGGGGTAGGTTTTAAGGGTTAGGTAAATAAAGGGGTGGGTGGTGGTGTTAGGACAGTACAGGGTGGTGTAGGGTGGTGAAGGGAGTGACGGGGGGTTGTGGAGTGTGGGAAAGAAAAAACCACCTCATTTCTGAACACATTACTTACTTCTACTACTCCTCTAGATGATGGCTTCATGGTAATTACAACTTTTCGTTCTTTAAAAAACTGATAGGAGTTTTTCAGCACCTTGAAAAATGTTACGGTATAATTCGATGTCACAGGACACGGGTTTGTACGTAATATAGTTTAGTGAAAGATTTAAATTATACGGAACAAAAATATAAAAAAACAACATTGAAAGTGTTGGTCACATGGTTTCATGAGCTGAAAATAAAAAAAAGATCCCTGAAAATGTTTCATACGCACAAAAAGGCGCTCTCTCAAATGGTGTACAAATTTGTTAACATCCCTGTGTGTGAGGCATTTTATCCTTTGTCAAGACATAATGGCATATCAAGAAAAGCTGATCTTGAACCGCAGATTCATTACACAGGTGCACCTGTGCTGGGGACAATTAAAAAAGGCCCACTAAAAAGTGTGCATGTTTTGTCACAAACAACAATGCCAAGATGGTTGAAGTTGAGGGACTCCATTATACAATATTGGCATGCTGATACAGGAATGTCCCACCCAGACTGTTGCCAGAGATTTGAATGTTTCAGTTCTCTAAAAACATACGGCCGCTTCCAAGTTGTTTAGAGAATTTGGTAGGAAATCCACGGCCTCCCACAAAACAGCAGGGGCCCCGTGTTAACCAACGCCAACCCAGGACCCTCTTCATCCGGGCTTCCTTCAACTGCGGGATCGTCTGGTGGGGTGCGGGCTGGAGGAGTATTTATTGGTCTGTTAAAAGGCCCATTTGTGGGTGGAAAGGGAAAAAAAACTAAATTTGATTGGCTGTGGACCCGGGCTCCCCAGTGGGTGGGGGCCTTATGCCTTCCCAGGCCCACCCATGGCCTGTGCCCTGCTCAGTCATCTTGTGAATGAAAAAAACAGATAGGGCCCTAATGTAATTTATTTCAATTACGATTTCCATATAGGAAACTGTAAACTCAGTAAAATCTTGACATGTTGCAGTGTGGTGTTTATTTTTTTTCAGTATCTATAGATACAATTATGATTATGGATTGTATTGTTACCTTCAAATGTTTTTCTACAGTTAAAATTGTATAATGGACTCAAGAAAATTTATCCGGAGTGCATTTTGGTCATGAGGAATTTGGGGTGAAAATGGAAAATGTATTTAAAATAAGACAACTTGCCAAAAAGTAGACATCTTAGTCTTCAGAATAATAGTTGATTTTTTGTAGATGCATCATGGTTTTGTAACTCAATTTACTACTGACCATTTAAAAACTGCTTTCATGAGATTCACCCAAGTGAACAGCAGCAACACATCTGCAAGCATGTGGGGACGATTAGAGATCAATGGACCTCCCTCCCTGTATAGGCTTAAACATTACTCTGGAACCGGACCACTCACTGACCTCCCTCCCTGTATAATATAAACATTACTCTGGACCGGACCACTTACTGACTCCCTCCCTGTTATAGTATAAACATTACTCTGGACGGACCACTTACTGACTCCTCCCTGTATAGTATAAACATTAACTCTGGACGGACCACTCACTGACCTCCCTCCCTGTATATAGTAAAACATTACTCTGGACCGGACCACTCACTGACCTCCCTCCCTGTATATAGTAAAAACATTACTCTGGACCGGACCACTCACGGACCTCCCCTCCCCTGAAATACTCTGGACCCGGACCACTCACTAAACCTCCCTCCCTGTATAGTAATAAACATTACTCTGGCCCGGACCACTCACTAAACCTCCCTCCCTGTTAGTATAAAACATTACTCTGGACCGGCCCACTCACTGACCTCCCTCCCTGTATAGTATAAACTTTACTCTGGCCCGGGACCACTCACTGACCTCCCTCCCTGTTAGTATAAACATTACTGGACCGGGAAACCACTCACTGACCTCCCTCCCTGTATAATATAAAACATTACTCTGGACCGGAACCCACTCACTGACCTCCCCCCCTGTATACTCGGGAAACCGGACCTCACTGACCTCCCTCCCTTGAATAGTATAAACATTACTCTGGAACGGACCACTCACTGACCTCCCTCCTGTATATAGTATAAACATTACTCTGGACCGGACCACTCACTGACCTCCCTCCCTGTAGAGTAAAAACTTTAAATTTGGACCGGACCACTCACTGACCTCCTCCCTGTATAGTTTTAAAACATTACTCTGGACCGGCCCAACTCACTGACCTCCCTCCCTGTATAATATAAACATTACTCTGGACCGGACCACTCACTGACCTCCCTCCCTGTATAACTTGGACCGGACCACTCACTGACCTCCCTCCCCTGTATATAGTATAAAACATTCTCTGGACCGGACCACTCACTGACCTCCCTCCCTGTTTTATAGTATAAACTTACTCTGGACCGGACCACTCACTGCCCTCCCTCCCTGTATAATATAAACATTACTCTGGACGACCACTCACTGACCTCCCTCCCTGTAAGTTAAACATACTCTGGACCGGACCCTCACTGACCTCCCTCCCTGTATATTGTATAAACATTACTCTGGACCGGACCACTCACTGACCTCCCCCCTGTAAATAGTATAAACTTTACTCTGGACCGGACCACTCACTGACCCCCTCCCTGTTTAGTATAAACATTACTCTGGACCGGACCACTCACTACCTCCCCCCCTGTATAATATAAACATTACTCGGGGACCGGACCACTCACTGACCTCCCTCCCTGTATATAGTATAAACATTACTCTGGACCGGACCACTCACTGACCCCCCTCCCCTTGTATTAGTATAAACATTACTCTGGACCGGACCCCTCTGACCTCCCTCTGTTATAGTATAAACATTACTCTGGACGACCCTCCACTGACCTCCCTCCCTGTAATAGTATAAAACATTACTTGGACCGGACCACTCACTGACCTCCCTCCCTGTATAGGTTAAACATTACTCTGGACCGGACCACTCACTGACCTCCCTCCCTGTATATAGTATAAACATTACTCTGGACCGGACCACTCACTGACCTCCCTCCCTGTATATAGTATAAACATTACTCTGGACCGGACCACTCACTGACCTCCCTCCCTGTATAAACATTACTCTGGACCGGCCCCACTCACCCCCTCCCTGTATAGTATAAACATTACTCTGGACCGGACCACTCACCTCCCTCCCTGTATATAGTATAAACATTACTCTGGACCGGACCACTCACTGACCTCCCTCCCTGTATATAGTATAAACATTACTCTGGACCGGACCACTCACTGACCTCCCTCCCTGTATACTCTGGACCGGACCACTCACTGACCTCCCTCCCTGTTTAGTAAAAAACATCACTCTGGACCCGGACCCTCACTGACCTCCCTCCTGTATAGTATAAACATTACTCTGGACCGGACCACTCACTGACCCCCCTCCCTGTTATAGTTTTAAACATTACTCTGGACCGGACCACTCACTGACCTCCCCCCCTGTATAGTATAAACATTACTATTGGACCGGACCACTCACTGACCTCCCTCCCTGTATATAGTATAAACATTACTCTGGCCCCGGACCACTCATGACCTCCCTCCCTGTATAGTATAAACATACTCGGACCGGACCACTCATGGACCTCCTCCCTGATATAGTATAAAACATTACTTGGCCCGGACACTCACTGACCTCCTCCCTGTATAGGTTAAACATTACTCTGGACCGGACCACTCACTGACCTCCTCCCTGTATATCTGGACCGGACCACTCACTGCCCTCCCTCCCTTTTAATATAAACATTACTCTGGACCGGACCATCACTGACCTCCCCCCTGTATATAGTATAAACATTATTCTGGACCGGACCACTCACTGACCTCCCTGTATTGTATAAACAGCTTTGTGTGTCAATGAGAAAACATGAGATTTTCTCTCCCTTTCCTACCGATTAACACACAATTCACCATCCTACCTACCCCAGCAATTCACCATCCTACCTACCCCAGCAATTCACCATCCTACCTACCCCAGCAATTCACCATCCTACCTACCCCAGCAACTCACCATCCTACCTACCCCAGCAATTCACCATCCTACCTACCCCAGCAGCAAATTAGGGACCATCACCTACCTCCACCTCCAGCAATTTCACCATCCTAACTACCTCCGCATTCACCAGTCTACCTACCCCAGCAATTCACCATCCTACCACCCCAGAATCAACCATCGTCCACCTTACCCCAAAGAGCAGCGGGGAATATGGTCTTGTTGGGGGTAGAAAAGATTTGAGCTACAAGTCGACAGCATTTCACCCCTCTACCCACCACTTCTCTCTCTCACTGCTTTGGAACTTTCACCCTCATTAAAAGTGGACTCGGGCTTCTGAGGGGTTAACTTCCCTGCATGATGGGCGCGAGTGCCACACCTCTGTGGCCACGTAATCCTATGATGAGACTCACACAGGGGTTGGCAGTTCCTTCTGTTTCCTCATGTGAGAGGGCATGCCAGGATGGGGAGATGGTACAGGGGTGGAGTATTAGTGGGTGGTCCATTGTGGGGCGGGGGGAGAGGAGAGATGAGGTAACACAAAGGGTAGTGGATGCCTATCTTGACACCCTACACCATTGCCCTCTCCTTCCTCTCGGGGCACTGTTCCCTATCTGAATGGAGAGGTCACATCATGTGGCCAGTTGGGCAACGGTTCCCTATCAGAATGGAGACGGGTCACATCATGTGGCCAGCTGGTCACTGTTCCCTATCAGAATGGAGAACGGGTCACATCATGTGGCCAGCTGGTCACAGTTCCCTATCTGAATGGAGATGGGTCACATCATGTGGCCAGCTGGTCACTGTTCCCTATCTGAATGGAGGAGATGGGTCACATCATGTGGCCAGCTGGTCACTGTTCCCTATCTGAATGGAGACGGGTCACATCATGTGGCCAGCTGGTCACTGGTTCCCTATCTGGAATGGAGGAGATGGGTCACATCATGTGGCCAGCTGGTCACTGTTCCCTATCTGAATGGAGATGATTGGGGTCACATCATGTGGCCAGCTGGTCACTGTTCCCTATCTGAATGGAGACGGGTCACATCATGTGGCCAGCTGGTCACTGTTCCCTATCTGAATGGAGATGGGCCACATCATGTGGCCAGCTGGTCACTGTTCCCTATCTGAATGGAGACGGGTCACATCATGTGGCCAGCTGGTCACTGTTCCCTATCAGAATGGAGACGGGTCACATCATGTGGCCAGCTGGTCACTGTTCCCTATCTGAATGAGAGGGTCACATCATGTGGCCAGCTGGTCACTGTTGCCTATCTGAATGGAGAGGGTCACATCATGTGGCCAGCTGGTCACTGTTGCCTATCTGAATGGAGAAGGGTCACATCATGTGGCCAGCTGGTCACTGTTCCTATCTGAATGGAGACTGGGTCACATCATGTGGCCAGCTGGTCACTGTTCCCTATCTGAATGGAGAGGGTCACATCATTGGCCAGCTGGTCACTGTTCCCTATCTGAATGGAGACGGGTCACATCATGTGGCCAGCTGGTCAACTGTTCCCTATCTGAATGGAGACGGGTCACATCATGTGGCCAGCTGGTCACTGTTCCCTATCTGAATGGAGACGGGTCACATCATGTGGCCAGCTGGTCACTGTTCCCTATCTGAATGGAGACGGGTCACATCATGTGGCCAGCTGGTCACTGTTCCCTATCTGAATGGAGACGGGTCACATCATGTGGCCAGCTGGTCACTGTTCCCTATCTGAATGGAGATGATGGGTCACATCATGTGGCCAGCTGGTCACTGTTCCCTATCTGAATGGAGATGATGGGTCACATCATGTGGCCAGCTGGTCACTGTTCCCTATCTGAATGGAGATGATGGGTCACATCATGTGGCCAGCTGGTCACTGTTCCCTATCTGAATGGAGACGGGTCACATCATGTGGCCAGCTGGTCACTGTTCCCTATCTGAATGGAGACGGGTCACATCATGTGGCCAGCTGGTCACTGTTCCCTATCTGAATGGAGAAGGGTCACATCATGTGGCCAGCTGGTCACTGTTCCCTATCTGAATGGAGATGGGTCACATCATGTGGCCAGCTGGTCACTGTTCCCTATCTGAATGGAGACGGGTCACATCATGTGGCCAGCTGGTCACTGTTCCCTATCTGAATGAGGATGGCCACATTACGTTGCCAGCTGGGCACAAGCCTACGGGGCACTGTTCCCGATCACCCTGGAGGGAGTCCTTTGTTCATTCATTCCCTGTTCCTTTCCACCCCTTCATCTCTCTCTGTCCCCTTCCCCACGACCCTTAATTGCTCCCCACATGCCCCTCTCCTCTCCCTCTGAGGGGTACAGAATGGAATGCAGCCTGCCTCCTCTCTGGAGCTCAACACTGCCACTGTCCAATTAGGAAAACTTTACGAGGGCATCATAAGATAAAGTTTATATGTGATTGATACGCAAAACTGCACATCTCAAAAAGCACAAAGACCTACATGAAACAAAATACGTCATCACCGCAACAGCACAGATAACTCTCAAGAGCCCATTTGCAAAATGTGCTTTTATATGGTGTATTTATCTATGCGCTATATGAGCGTATGACCACGCTCTAAAACTAAAACACCTTCACACTCAGTTTTACAGTGGCTTCACTGTCAATATTGTCACCCATTCATTGCAGTACAGGGTTTATCGTCACATTTTATGAGTGTCGTCATATTATGTTACGGTCATCGTAAACCAGTAGATTTAATGAGTGAGCCTCTGTAAAAAAGGTATCATGTGGAACAATCGCCCAAACTTAATCAAAATAATGAATAAGACGAGTGGAACAACAAACGTTCACCTTTGACGTACAGCTCTGTAGGCTGCTGTGGTCCATCGAAACATTAACTTGGATATATTTTAATTTGTTTCGTCAACCCAATCATGGATCAAACGTGTTTATTTTTTTTTTAGATGTGGTTGTAAATGACTTAGCTCCAACCCTACCTCCATCCACCGTTGAGCCTCAGTGAAGGCGTCTATGATTTAGCTCCAACCCTACCTCCATCCACCGTTGAGCCTCAGTGAAGGCGTCTATGATTTAGCTCCAACCCTACCTCCATCCACCGCTGAGCCTCAGTGAAGGCGTCTATGATTTAGCTCCAACCCTACCTCCATCCACCGCTGAGCCTCAGTGAAGGCGTCTATGATTTAGCTCCAACCCTACCTCCATCCACCGCTGAGCCTCAGTGAAGGCGTCTATGATTTAGCTCCAACCCTACCTCCATCCACCGCTGAGCCTCAGTGAAGGCGTCTATGATTTAGCTCCAACCCTACCTCCAATCCACCGCTGAGCCTCAGTGAAGGCGTCTATGATTTAGCTCCAACCCTACCTCTATCCACCGCTGAGCCTCAGTGAAGGCGTCTATGATTTAGCTCCAACCCTACCTCCATCCACCGCTGAGCCTCAGTGAAGGCGTCTATGATTTAGCTCCAACCCTACCTCCATCCACCGCTGAGCCTCAGTGAAGGCGTCTATGATTTAGCTCCAACCCTACCTCCATCCACCGCTGAGCCTCAGTGAAGGCGTCTATGATTTAGCTCCAACCCTACCTCCATCCACCGCTGAGCCTCAGTGAAGGCGTCTATGATTTAGCTCCAACCCTACCTCCATCCACCGCTGAGCCTCAGTGAAGGCGTCTATGATTTAGCTCCAACCCTACCTCCATCCACCGCTGAGCCTCAGTGAAGGCGTCTATGATTTAGCTCCAACCCTACCTCCATCCACCGCTGAGCCTCAGTGAAGGCGTCTATGATTTAGCTCCAACCCTACCTCCATCCACCGCTGAGCCTCAGTGAAGGCGTCTATGATTTAGCTCCAACCCTACCTCCATCCACCGCTGAGCCTCAGTGAAGGCGTCTATGATTTAGCTCCAACCCTACCTCTATCCACCGCTGAGCCTCAGTGAAGGCGTCTATGATTTAGCTCCAACCCTACCTCCATCCACCGCTGAGCCTCAGTGAAGGCGTCTATGATTTAGCTCCAACCCTACCTCCATCCACCGCTGAGCCTCAGTGAAGGCGTCTATGATTTAGCTCCAACCCTACCTCCATCCACCGCTGAGCCTCAGTGAAGGCGTCTATGATTTAGCTCCAACCCTACCTCCATCCACCGCTGAGCCTCAGTGAAGGCGTCTTCACAGCTCACACTGGTCCGTTGTCGCCACTCCATCTTCCACACAAGGTCGAAAACAGACAAGGAACTTTTTGTTCTAGTTGAAAGAGAGAACAAGGAGAAGTCGATCGTTCCCGATAATCGTTAGGCCTACCCTAAGACAAACAACACAGCGTCAATCAAAGCATTTCCCTGTCGACAAGACACAATTATCCAGCGATCATCTAAATAGTTTAATCCGACGGTATTGTTAAAAATGTGTTACCTGCGGCAAACTTCAGCTGGGGAAACTTGAAAGTCTAAACTCTGCTCACCGGTGAACGATTCCCGTTAATTGACTTCCGCGCGCCTCGCAATGGGACACTTGTTACCAAACATTTTTGTCACGCGCAATACCTAAAGTGGGCGTTTCCTGTAGTCTGACAGATCATCCTTTTCTGCACCTGATGGTGTTTTCTCTTTAGTGAACACCGGGGGGCCCCACGGAGTCATACAGCGGCCTTAGCTGCTCACCTGACGGGTCTTCAGTAGAGGAGGAGGAGAACGGGTTCCACTAAATAACCCAGCCACAAAGTCAGATTCCACAGCCAAAAGGACAATATTGGCTACAAAAAAATTGCTTTTTTGGTATTCATTTGAGGTTAGGGTTATGCATAAGGTTAGCAGTGTGGTTTGTTAAGGTTAGGGGTAGGTTTAAAATCTGATTTTAAGAAGATAAACATTGTCAGAGAGAGAGAGAGAGTCAGAGATACAGAGAGAGAGAGAGAAACGTTAACACACGTTTCCCATGCCAATAAAGCCCTTAAATTGAAATTGAAATTGAATTGAATTGAGAGAGAAAGAGAGTCAGAAAGACAGAGAGAGAGAGAGAGAGAAAGAGAGAGAAGGAGAGACAGAGAGGAAGAGAGAGTCGAGAGAGGAAGAGAGAGAGAAGAGAGGGAAGTCAAGAGAGAGAGAAGAGAGAGAGAGAGAGAGAGAGATAGAGAAACGGGCAGATCGCAGTCTAGAAGAGAATAGAGAATAGAACAAATGCTGTAGGAGATTATCTATCGGTCACACGGTTAGGGGGGGGGGGGGGGGGGGGTTAACAGAACTGTAAACTGTTTCACCACTCAAGTCTACGCTACAGCTTCAGTCTCAGTCCAGGTCTGGAATCTATTTCATCATAATGGTCTCTCTCTGGCTTTATTAGGAATATATTCAGCATCAACGACAGCATCACAGCAGTACGTCCATATTTATTGGTCGCATACACAGTTCAGCAGATGTTATAGCAGTGCAGCCAAATGCTGATGTTACCAGCTCCTAACAGTGTAGTAAAATGCTAATGTTCCTAGCTCCTAACAGTGTAGTAAAATGCTAATGTTCCTAGCTCCTAACAGGGTAGTAAAATGCTAATGTTCCTAGCTCCTAACAGGGTAGTAAAATGCTTATGTTCCTAGCTCCTAACAGGGTAGTAAAATGCTGATGTTACCAGCTCCTAACAGTGTAGTAAAATGCTAACGTTCCTAGCTCCTAACAGGGTAGTAAAATGCTGATGTTACCAGCTCCTAACAGTGTAGTAAAATGCTTATGTTACCAGCTCCTAACAGTGTAGTAAAATGCTGATGTTACCAGCTCCTAACAGGGTAGTAAAATGCTGATGTTACCAGCTCCTAACAGGGTAGTAAAATGCTTATGTTACTAGCTCCTAACAGTGTAGTCTAACTGTAAGTCGCTCTGGATAAGAGCGTCTGCTAAATGACTAAAATGTAATGTAAATGTAAAATGCTAATGTTACTAGCTCCTAACAGGGTAGTAAAATGCTGATGTTACTAGCTCCTAGCAGTGTAGTAAAATGCTGATGTTACCAGCTCCTAACAGGGTAGTAAAATGCTAATGTTACTAGCTCCTAACAGGGTAGTAAAATGCTAATGTTACCAGCTCCTAACAGTGTAGTAAAATGCTAATGTTACCAGCTCCTAACAGTGTAGTCTAACTGTAAGTCGCTCTGGATAAGAGCGTCTGCTAAATGACTAAAATGTAATGTAAATGTAAAATGCTAATGTTACTAGCTCCTAACAGGGTAGTAAAATGCTGATGTTACTAGCTCCTAGCAGTGTAGTAAAATGCTGATGTTACCAGCTCCTAACAGGGTAGTAAAATGCTAATGTTACTAGCTCCTAACAGGGTAGTAAAATGCTGATGTTACTAGCTCCTAGCAGTGTAGTAAAATGCTGATGTTACCAGCTCCTAACAGGGTAGTAAAATGCTGATGTTACCAGCTCCTAACAGGGTAGTAAAATGCTGATGTTACCAGCTCTTAACAGGGTAGTAAAATGCTAATGTTACCAGCTCCTAACAGTGTAGTAAAATGCTGATGTTACTAGCTCCTAACAGGGTAGTAAAATGCTGATGTTACTAGCTCCTAACAGGGTAGTAAAAATGCTGATGTTACTAGCTCCTAACAGTGTAGTAAAATGCTGATGTTACTAGCTCCTAACAGGGTAGTAAAAATGCTGATGTTACTAGCTCCTAACAGGGTAGTAAAATGCTGATGTTACTAGCTCCTAACAGGGTAGTAAAATGCTGATGTTACCAGCTCCTAACAGGGTAGTAAAATGCTAATGTTACTAGCTCCTAACAGTGTAGTAAAATGCTGATGTTACTAGCTCCTAACAGGGTAGTAAAATGCTGATGTTACTAGCTCCTAACAGGGTAGTAAAATGCTGATGTTACTAGCTCCTAACAGGGTAGTAAAATGCTGATGTTACTAGCTCCTAACAGTGTAGTAAAATGCTGATGTTACTAGCTCCTAACAGGGTAGTAAAATGCTGATGTTACCAGCTCCTAACAGGGTAGTAAAATGCTAATGTTACCAGCTCCTAACAGGGTAGTAAAATGCTGATGTTACTAGCTCCTAACAGGGTAGTAAAATGCTGATGTTACTAGCTCCTAACAGTGTAGTAAAATGCTGATGTTACCAGCTCCTAGCAGTGTAGTAAAATGCTAATGTTCCTAGCTCCTAACAGGGTAGTAAAATGCTAATGTTACTAGCTCCTAACAGGGTAGTAAAATGCTGATGTTACTAGCTCCTAACAGTGTAGTAAAATGCTAATGTTCCTAGCTCCTAACAGTGTAGTAAAATGCTAATGTTCCTAGCTCCTAACAGGGTAGTAAAATGCTGATGTTACTAGCTCCTATCAGTGTAGTAAAATGCTAATGTTTCCTAGCTCCTAACAGTGTAGTAAAATGCTAATGTTCCTAGCTCCTAACAGTGTAGTAAAATGCTGATGTTACTAGCTCCTATCAGTGTAGTAAAATGCTAATGTTCCTAGCTCCTAACAGTGTAGTAAAATGCTAATGTTCCTAGCTCCTAACAGTGTAGTAAAATGCTAATGTTCCTAGCTCCTAACAGTGTAGTAAAATGCTGATGTTACCAGCTCCTAACAGTGTAGTAAAATGCTAATGTTCCTAGCTCCTAACAGTGTAGTAAAATGCTAATGTTACCAGCTCCTAACAGTGTAGTAAAATGCTAATGTTCCTAGCTCCTAACAGTGTAGTAAAATGCTAATGTTACCAGCTCCTAACAGTGTAGTAAAATGCTAATGTTACCAGCTCCTAACAGTGTAGTAAAATGCTGATGTTACCAGCTCCTAACAGGGTAGTAAAATGCTAATGTTACCAGCTCCTAACAGGGTAGTAAAATGCTAATGTTCCTAGCTCCTAACAGTGTAGTAAAATGCTAATGTTACCAGCTCCTAACAGTGTAGTAAAATGCTAATGTTACCAGCTCCTAACAGTGTAGTAAAATGCTGATGTTACCAGCTCCTAACAGTGTAGTAAAATGCTAATGTTACCAGCTCCTAACAGGGTAGTAAAATGCTAATGTTACCAGCTCCTAACAGGGTAGTAAAATGCTAATGTTCCTAGCTCCTAACAGTGTAGTAAAATGCTAATGTTACCAGCTCCTAACAGTGTAGTAAAATGCTAATGTTACCAGCTCCTAACAGTGTAGTAAAATGCTGATGTTACCAGCTCCTAACAGTGTAGTAAAATGCTGATGTTACCAGCTCCTAACAGTGTAGTAAAATGCTAATGTTACCAGCTCCTAACAGTGTAGTAAAATGCTGATGTTACCAGCTCCTAACAGGGTAGTAAAATGCTAATGTTACCAGCTCCTAACAGTGTAGTAAAATGCTGATGTTACCAGCTCCTAACAGTGTAGTAAAATGCTGATGTTACCAGCTCCTAACAGTGTAGTAAAATGCTGATGTTACCAGCTCCTAACAGTGTAGTAAAATGCTGATGTTACCAGCTCCTAACAGTGTAGTAAAATGCTTATGTTACTAGCTCCTAACAGGGTAGTAAAATGCTTATGTTACTAGCTCCTAACAGGGTAGTAAAATGCTAATGTTACCAGCTCCTAACAGGGTAGTAAAATGCTGATGTTACTAGCTCCTAACAGTGTAGTAAAATGCTGATGTTACCAGCTCCTAACAGGGTAGTAAAATGCTAATGTTACCAGCTCCTAACAGGGTAGTAAAATGCTGATGTTACTAGCTCCTAACAGGGTAGTAAAATGCTGATGTTACCAGCTCCTAACAGGGTAGTAAAATGCTAATGTTCCTAGCTCCTAACAGTGTAGTAAAATGCTTATGTTACTAGCTCCTAACAGTGTAGTAAAATGCTAATGTTACTAGCTCCTAACAGTGTAGTAAAATGCTGATGTTACCAGCTCCTAACAGGGTAGTAAAATGCTGATGTTACTAGCTCCTAACAGTGTAGTAAAATGCTGATGTTACTAGCTCCTAACAGGGTAGTAAAATGCTTATGTTACCAGCTCCTAACAGTGTAGTAAAATGCTGATGTTACTAGCTCCTAACAGGGTAGTAAAATGCTAATGTTCCTAGCTCCTAACAGGGTAGTAAAATGCTTATGTTCCTAGCTCCTAACAGTGTAGTAAAATGCTAATGTTCCTAGCTCCTAACAGGGTAGTAAAATGCTTATGTTACCAGCTCCTAACAGTGTAGTAAAATGCTAATGTTACTAGCTCCTAACAGGGTAGTAAAATGCTT